ATAGTTATATGTGTAGAGAAGTCGGGTGCTTGTCGCGGCGGTTTCCCAATAGAAAGTCCTCAGATGCAGGAAGCGCTGCACTGCAGTACACGTGCATTTGTTCGGGCGAGGCGTTGGTGGGGCGGCGGCCGATGCACTTTCATGCTGGTGACGTCACACCTTACCTTTCGTCAGCGTCACACCGCAGCTCGTAAGAGCTGTTACGCAATGGACGCACGCCACTCAACTTTCCAATTTCGACAACGCGCTATTGTGTAGCGCTTTCAAATTTTACTATACCATCGCCCGCTTGAGCGGCGCTTTCTTGCATTTCTCTCTCTTTTTAATCACGACTGAAAAATGCTCTAAACTCGGTGCGCGGGCGCAATGTACAGATGCACTTTCACTGTTGCGTTCCGCCTCTCATCTCTAATAAATAATATGTTATTAAATAATTAAGATTTTTCTATAGTTGGCACTCTAATAAATTGAAAACCATTTAAATACTTTCTTAAAAGTTACGAGTATTCGTATTTATTGATATGGTAATTAAATTCGAAAAACATTTTCTTTACGTCTAATTTCCATAACCCTTTTTTTATGTATAAAATGTATCTGTTTGAAATTGGACAAATTGTAAATAAATATACGAACAGCACACTGAACTAAATGCAATGTTAACAACAGCGATATTGTAGGATTTTCACCTAGACGAGATAGCGAGCTTTCCACGCAGCGAGAGTCGAGTTGAGAGTGAACCGCGGCTCTCTCCTTACCTTAATCTCGTATACATATGAATAAAAACATTTAGAACGATAACACTGCACATCTATAAACAAGGCAGTAGCTTTATAACATCGTTCATGAACTTAGTGCTCTCTATAAAATACTTATTTCTCAATGGCCTCCTTTCGTTTTAATGTAGGTTATGAACTAAAAAATTAATTTCCATATTGATCAACATGATAATTCATTATTACAAATATTTGTTGATTAATTCAGTATGCGTTTTTGTTGCAAAAATGTGGTGCCTACAAAAGTGGAGCTGCTACAGGTTGACGTAATTTTGTCACCTGTTCGAACAAATTGAAGAAAATCTATTCAAAGTTTTTATTCGAGTGCCTATCCGTTTTTGGTTCGTGTGCCGTAGAAACTTAAGGTCAACTTGTATTGTAAATGAGAAAGTTAATCGAGGAAAGTGTGATCGGTGGCACTTGGTGCAGCAGTTTCTAAAAAATATTTTGTATCGGCAACCTTTCGCCCTGTTTCAAACTGTAAATTGCACGTATTCCTTATCTAGACTAGACTGATAAGAAAGCTGGGTAAGGAGGACATACTAACGAACATGGACAGGGCAGCTTCAGTTGTAAGACAGACAAATCAGACGTAGGTACTGTTAATCAGACGTTTGCGCTAAAAAAACATGTTTTGACGTAATTCATGATTGGTGATCGCATCTTTAGGGGTAGCCTTAGTAATGCTAAGATTTTGTTTAACGAACCGTTTTAAAATCATCCTTTTAACTTGACAAATTGCACAATACAGTGTAAAATTTCGATGGACATATTTAAATTAATTAAAAACGAATCACTAATCAATGACCATTAAAAATACACTTAATGCCACCTGATTAAATTAACGAAAGTCTGTTTTTATCAGAATAATATCGCTCCTTACGTACACATGTTTTATTTGTTACTAAGTGAATCAAACGACCTTGTAGATAAGAAAAACAATAATAACTATTACAATACATTTTAAAACGTACCCAATAAACATTGATTCAAGATCGAATTTGCGTAACCATTGCAGCTATTAATAATTGGTGCTTTCTATTCCATTCATTTCATTATCTTAATTAATGATGGTTATACAAAAATGTGATACATATGCCTACAACTAATCGGTTTTCTCCGTTTTAAATGATATCAATTTCAAACTGACTTCGTAATAAATATACTTTCCCTTTGGAGATATAGTGTTAGTATTCCAACACGATTTACCATCCACCTTCTAATCGTAAGCGAATAATGGACGGACTCTTACAAACAGTTTCACGTTACTTTCATACCATTTTAGTCTTAACCCAAATATCTGCCCAGTTTTATTATAAGTTTCGTATAATACGGGATGAGCTTAACGTGGCACGACCACAAATCCTAACAAATCCAAACTCCGTGCTGCCGCTGAGAATCTGTCGAAAAATTCCATAAAGCTCACAGCTTATCACAGTTCCCCGAAAATCGGTTCTAATCATTCCACGTGAATTTATTTTAAATACAAGTATTGAAGATATGTCCAAAAAGTCCACCCACCGAGAGACTGACAAACAGCACCTCAAAATTTTCGGTGTCCTAACTTTGGAATCCAATTTAAAGGAAGGATTTATTTATCAGTGTTCGTCTTCTGATTAATGATTGGACAGCGGAAGAAATAAATTAGTTCTGAGATTAAAAACAAAAACATTTTAAATTCTATAATAAGGCACTGCTATAAGTAAGATTAGGTGCTCTGATAACTGTTTGTCAACATACAATATTATGCAAATTGCTGTCGCATGGTACGCATATAAAATCCATGGGTCAGCCGGCACAATTTCTATGTGTTGTTTTTGATATGCTTCAATGTAACTGACGTGATATTTTTACTTAAAATCACCATCAAACAAGGAACATTTTTGAACTAATAAAATTAATTCCATTCAACGAATCAGTTAAATCTTTATTGTTTTTTTAAATATTATGTTCAAGTAGCAAAATTTGACAGTGCAATGTTTCCAAGATTCCAAGTTAATTATTTTCTTTCTCACGAACTAATCACGTTTTTCGCTAAATGCCTTTAATGTTGTTTGCAAACTGCTAAGTAATGACATCGCTAGTGATTAAAACTCCACACTTCCTATTTCATTTATAACTCCTCGGAGATCTTGAGCCACGTGGCATTTATGATATTTTTTTTTAATAGGCTGTTCTATGAATTCTTTCAAATTCAGTTCTATGGTAAATGTTCAGTCCTCATTGTCATTAGTCCTTACAAATACTTCTGTCTTTGCTTTTAGTCATTTATTTGGGATCATTGTCTGTTTCTTTTTTGTAATTTCTATATCAGCCAACATAAATCTTTGTTGCATACAATATTATTTGCTTCTTACAATGTTTGGACTCTATTCTTTTATGATTTAGGCCTCTTCTGACCGGTCTTTGGGCCTACCATTCTTTTTTTAGCTTTCTATGTCCTTCGGTGACAATATATTTATTTGTATATACTTCTATTATATTTATAATAAATCAAATTCCGTTGCAAATGGTTTGACCATTTGGTTGAAATTAACGTACATTTGGTACCTATCGATGATTGTAATTAAATAGATACGTATGTTAATTTATAATTGGATTGAAACCTACTAAAGTACATTTTGTTTTTTGATTAAATTTATCAAAAAATATCTTCACAAACTTCATTTTTAAATGAATTTGATATAACGAACATAGCAACCGAAACATAAACGTTCTTAGACGTAGGTACTGGTTGACTGTTCAGTACCTTTTCAAAGACAACATCAAACATTTTGTTGGATACACCCAAAAAATTAAGTAAGTTTAACAATACTTAAATCACGTGTCCCGAATTTTTTCTAAGAAACATCATGCCGAAACGATTCAACTCAAACAAAGGAGCAAATAATCTGAGCAGGTAAGGTGGGTTGTGGAATCCGAGGCCGAGGGCTTTTTCCCTTCGGGAGGTTAACCCTGAAGGCTCGGACCAAGGTCGACGAGTGTTTGAGACGCCTTTGAGGGCGAGATGACTCGATGACTTTGCCTAACCCCTGCGGTCATATTATTTATATATTCAGTTGTGGCAGCCAATGCACGCGTTATTACTGCAGCTAACCTCCCCGGCCTTACCAATCGACTTCTTTCATTCGCATATCTTATACCTAACATGTTCGCTTATTATGTTCAGTCAGTTTCGTTTAAAAATATTTTTTGTTTTATTCCTGTGTCATTCTTGTGACTTTGTTGCCTTTCTGAAGGACAAAAGTAAAATTCAAAGAAGGCGTAATGATTTCAAGGAAAGCTACTAGAACAAAAATCGTTTTAGGTGTTTTTCTATAGACTGACAAGGAATTAGAAAATATTAGAGACCGAAGATGCTTGTTGATTTTATAATTATATTTCAATGAAAACTAGGTAGTTGCACCACAACCTCGGTATTAAATTTATAGACCCTTTCACAAAGTAACAAGACGCAGTATAACCGAGCGAAACTTTTAGTTAAGCTTTACTTTCTGTTATGGCCAATGTAATCGACACGTGGTCTTTGTTTAAAATATAGGAAATTACTATAAAATTATGTTCAACGAAATTTAATAATTGCCAAAGACAAATCATTTAGAACATTAACATTTCAACGTAATTCACATCTATTTGTTTGCCGTGTCGAACAGGGCGGCTCAAGGCTCTGCTCGGGGGCAACAACTTCTCCCTACGTGCAATGAACAAAGCTGCAGTCAATGTTTAAGCTTGATAACTCATTGTTCGGTAGGTTAAATATAATGTAGTGACTCCGTCTGCTGTTATTTACACTACAATGTTTCTTTTCTATATTGACGTTACTCATCATACGCCGATTTTTCCGAATCATAAAGTCCTTTATTTAAAAACCACAGAAATTAGATCATTACAATATTAAAATACTTAGTACTAGTTACCTGAAAACTGGGATAGAAAGTTGAAGTGTTGAACACGTGCGCAACAGTATGATAGGTTTCATAATGGGGACGTCAGTGATGTAAAATTAGGAAGTGGTTTATGTTGAACTTATAATCTTACATCCGTCAAAAAGTAGTATTAAGCATATGAACAGGCTAAAGCTTTCACCAATACAATGGAGACTGAACGGAGAAAGGGTCTGTGGTGCGCAGCTGTCCCGCGGGCGCCCGTTGTCGGGCGCTCCGCCCTCGCTGACCCCGCGCCTCCGCTCCGCTCTCCGCGAACGGCGAGAGAAGCGCTCACATTCACATTACAGTCGACTCCCCGAGTCGCGGCATTTGAGAGTCCAGTACAGTCTCGGCAGTCGCCCGTCATTCGTCGAGCGTAGCGTACGTCTGTCACGTCTCCGCGCGAAACTTACCAGCCATGTGGTGAAGTGAAACTGTCAAACGTGATACACTTTCGCATACCGGTGTTATTCGGTTTGAGTGGACTATTGTACTTTATAATTTAAATTGACTTGTGGTGGTTTGTGATAACGAAGTGGTGCAACAATTTTGGAAAATTGGATTATACGAACGTATAATGGCCTTAGCCAGGTGAGCTATTTTGGTTGTTGGAGTCAACGCGGAACTAGTTTATTTTATCATGTTCATCGAAGGACTTTTCGTCGGTTGGATCGTTACATGAATTAGAACACTCACGTGTACGATCATCAGTTTACAGACGTGCAAGCGACGTTTTCCTTGTATGATAGTAAGCGTTGACACTGATGAATTTAGTATTGTCAGGTATGCCTTCATGATCTCTAAGTCACAATATTGTGTTGTTTTGATTAAGTACTTATTATCTCTACAATGGGCGAAAGTTGCTTTGCCCCGCACGCGCATTTAACTTTCCTTGTTGTGTAAGCTGAACGCCAACCGACAGGTAGAGGGAGCAACTTAGAAATCGAGTCACTTTTACTGCAACCATTATCATTAGTAATAATGAGTTTTTAACCAATTTTCTTGAATATATTGGTAAAAACTCATTAGCAACTACCTCATATTTACAGTTCTAACTTTCATGTCTCTACCAGCCCCTCGAACGTTCAGTTTATGGTGTTTCGATGTTTTCTTTTATTCCTTGGCACCCTCATTCGTCACGGTTACCCCAAACGGTTGAACCCCACTGTTGCTTGCTTGACGGTGTGTTTTATTTGGAACGTCGTGTTTTTTCTTCGTGCAACGTTACGTTAAAACTGATGTTATTATTATTTCTATGCTAACAAAGTATGATTAAGCCCTCACCCACGGTAACATATTTTTGTTTTCTAGATAGTCTTCGTGAGAAGCCGTTGCAGTCTTTGTCTTTGTTTATTACTGTCACTGAAATAATATGGATTATTATGAGTATTTACTGATTTATTTATAAACTCACCTAAATAAGATCTGTTCCAAAGATAATATTTAACGATGGATCAGTAAAACAAGTCCTAACGTATGGGTTCGTTTCTTTCCTTTAGCAGGTAGTCAACCAAGCGAGGCCGGAAAGCGCTCACCTCCTGATGTTCCAATACCCTTTTTTTCATTCAATCGTGTTCCTCTTTTTGTGAAAGCAAATGTAACGTTCCAGCTTTTGACGATCATATAATAATTGTACTTGGTATTAGCTACTTCCAATCTATCTTTATACAACTTACAGAGCTATCGACAATACTGTTCCAGTTCTACCAAATTGGATTAACTCAGTTTACAGTTTGTTTATTATAGACAACTACTAAGTAGTTACGTTATTTTGTCATACTAAATCGGCTTAAGTGCCGAATCTTCCTCATTCAGAAAACAAACCGCTAATGTTTTGAAACAATTCAAAACATACAAAAGCACGTGATATTTAGGACCAGTAAATAATTCTAAACGACTATCAAACAACTGTGAGTTCACGAGTACCTACAAAAGATGGTCGCCATCTTAAGTCTCCCTAAATATCTTTATAAAGTTAGAATCGTATCTTGCTAAGAAAATAAAGATTTGCGGAGAAGCTCCTTCGTGCGGGTCGACGACCTTCCTTAGCGCAGAATGCACGGAAGAGCATACAAGTGTGGGTAGGTGTCTTCGTCTCGACCCTCTTTACTCTTATTTGTAACGAACACCTCGAAGCCCTCGCACCCTATATTATATTTATAGCCATCCTCTTCAAATTCCATTTAAATCACATTGACTTATCGCACAGTTTGGAAATCCCTTACGGCTTAACATAAAATACTTATGCTCTAACAGTTTATGAGATTACAAATTAGTATGTAGCATTTAAAATCTGGAGGTATTTATAGTTTCCGATTATTTCTCAATCTATTTGATACCTTTTTAACAGTTGTATATGTATCCTTTTTGCGATTAGGTGTTGTTGAATGTAAAACTCATTGCTCTCCAATTAAGCATATATTCAATAATTTTAACGCTTTGATGAGTTTTACTGTAATTAGTAAAGCAATGGACTGTGAGCATTACTCTAAAATACACAAATAAAACCTGCCATTTCAGTCATTACAAAATGGTTCCTGAAATTCATTTAAATGTGACTACTTTGACCATCACAAATGTAACATATACACTGAAGTAACCGGTGGACTGACTCAAGTTACGCTTGTCATTGTTATAGTCTAACAATCTAGTAGGTATGATTGTTTAAATAAATTGGGCGAGGTTATTTCGCAAGAATGTATCAATTTAGTCCGAGGGCCGGTGAGCGTTTACAAAGCGAAAGATTGCGGCCGAGCCCGCACTCGCTGCTCCTGTTTCGTTGACAGCGGAATGCGATAACTAAGTGGGTTTGCGGCTCTGACGCTGAATTTTGGTTACGATAACGCCAGGTTAAGCAGAAATGTCCGTTACTCGAATAGAAGCGGTGCTGCGCTTAAATAATGAAACGTAAATCGTAAAGAATGTAGTCATTGAAAAGATAAGCTTGTTAGCTCTGGCTGTAATCCAACGTGCGTTAGCGTCTTGTACGTACGCTTCACGAAATGTTTTACGGTATATTGAATAACTTAAAATCCAGTAAAAAAGAAGGTTATTTACCTGAACGATTTAAATTTATCATTACTATATGAGTTTTACATTTACAATTTCATTGCCGTAACGTAAACGATTGTTAGTTTATTATAATAATACCTACCTACTTCCAAATGGCTTTTGTACTTAGATTTCTTTTCAATGGACCTTAAAACGTTGAGTCAAAACAAAATCTATGTAAAAGGCAAATTCAGAAGAAATTCGAATGGCAATCTTTTAGTTTTAAAAACAAATTGTTACTGGAGCCACACCTAGTTACATAATGATATCGGTATAAATAGCAAATTTATTGATACAGCGATTACATACGTACGTATTCAAAGTCTTCCGTATTATCGTGATGTATATTACACAAGGTCAAGGCTACCAAACGTATATACACTGCTGAATCTTATTTGGGAAATCACATTTATTCTTTTCTGTTTTATGCTTTCGTAGAAAATGTACAAAGCATAATACGATTTCATATTGAACTCATCGATAGAAAGGTTGTCTACGCTTAGCCTACCTTCAACAAAACTATCCAATTCTATGAAATTAAATTACTATAAATTTTAGGGCGGAAATTAAAACCTTGTTTATTACGAAGCTTATAAAAGCAATTAGTATAGTAGAATAAACAAACGTTCTTCTTACTAAAAGTCGGATATCAGCGATAGAACAGTTACGAGAGCTTGCAGTTATTAACTGGTAGCATCTGCCCTTCCCTTCCCAATAAACTATTGTCGTCATAGCACATTTGACATTTTGTATAAAAACAAAGTGACATCCATCTTATCGATAACCCTTATTTGCCTCTAATGCCACCCACGGAAAACGATGAGGCCATATTGGTTGTGGAGGCTAGAGCAAGAGATTCTATTGTTAAATGCGTGTTTCTCTTTTGGAGAGAATGGCTGTAATTTGTTTTGTGGCCATTTCTCAGGTGAAACCTCATAATTTGAATATAGCGTCTTTGTCGATGGAAAGTACGCTGCGTCTTTCTTCGGCACGGTGCGTGGCGCTCCTCTTTGTACGATGATCTCGATAGTTTCACCAACATACGACTTTGAACAGCTCACTGCTCAGATTTCTTTTAATATCGCTCTTGTTATGCTATGTTAGTTATGTGGCATCGTATTATCGAGTCTAGTATATTGGACCTGAGGTTTTATTTATGATAAACTAGAGATCATTATTATAAAATATGTCATTTCTAAATGGAGCAATGGTGTATTTATTAAATAGCTCAGCCAAGCAGTCTTCTATAAACTATGATAATTTATAATGATTCTTATAAACTCTCGCCTTTTAATTTAACGACCTAAAAACATCAGACGATTCTCAGGTGAATTGTGTCGCAACTTTGGCGTAACTCTCGACCGATGTCATTACTCAGCTGAAAGTGGCTCATGAAACTATGACAAGACCCACTCATGTAAGATCTAATTTATGTACCTACACCGCTCTACAGTTTTCGAAACCTAATGGTTTCTGAAGTTAAAATAATAAAACAGTGGTCGTTAATTTATATTTTATGCAAATTGCGATTCTAAAAGAACTGAGTCTCATCGGAGTACAGTCGAACTTAATCAGGACAATTCTAAAAGTTCAACGTCGACCTAGTACCAGGTACATTATTTATTTCATCCGTTGCCGATTTGGTTCATAATAGCGTGAAGCGTTAATTTGCCGAGGGAGCAATTCGGAACGGGGACATCGCGCGCACTCCAACTTGGTCGGAGAGTCGCGCGCGTTGACCCATTTTGTGCGTAAAGCGGTATGGTGCGTAGAGGAATCGATGATATAGCAACCGAATCTCGAGGCCTTCGCCGCTTTACTGATGAGTTTGGATCTGTGTCAGGGTCCTCCCCCGCTCGACGTCCCTACACCTTCTGCGCCTCGACCTCCCTTCGGTAGGCAGCCCCTGCCTCGGTTGACCCGTAAAACTCTAGTGTTTGCGTTATACTTTCCGTGGGCTGTTTAATGATTTGGGGTCACTCGTGTTAGCATTATTCGTACCTACCTGCAAGAATTGTATACAATTTTACAAGGATTACGTGAGGTGACTCACGTCCATATAATTTTGGTCAACCGATGTCAAGATATTTTTTCAGATGTGACAGTTCTGGATTGAAATCTCATCACGGAGAATATAAGTTACCCACAACATAATAAACTGTTCGTCATAAGACAGGGACAATACATATATTATCCTTCCATATCAAGCTGTAACAACGCGAATGTTGCGTTAGTATTGTTTAACTATACATAAATTCGTTTTGAGAAGCTTGAGCTAACAAAACAGAGGTCACTTATTTTGGGGCAATGTATACTTGACCAAGTTTTTGTTATTCATAATTCTTCCATAAAATACATAGAATAATCAGTTCAAAAGACCTTAAATCTGTACGTGTCTGTTGTATTTGCTGTTGCTTTAATTATTATATAATTTATGTAATAGTTCTTGAAATCAATTACTTCGTACTTTAATTGAATGAGAGTATAAGGTTATTGACTAAATATTATGAGGTTGAGAGAGTCATGCTTCAGTAAGTTAATCGTGACTGAATTGAAACGATCTAGTGCGTTGAATGAAACCGAGCTTCGGGTTACCGTTGGATTGGTGATCGACCTTTGCAGCTCCGTCACCTTCGCAGCAGCCGCCAGTGTTGGCATTGTCGCCTCGACGCCAATAGGAAGCAGCGCGGCCGCAGATCGCTATTGGGCTTAAGGCCATTTTCAATGCACCATCTTTTACCTTGTGCCCCTTACTGTGTAGAATGACCCGAAATCGACTTCGTCGGTTGTAGAGCGAGACGAAGATCTCCATATATCTTGCTTTATCACCTAATTTTTTTAACAAGATAATTGTACCCCGTTTTATCATCGAAGACCTCATTTATTCACATGAATGTCTGACAGTCAACTATCAAAAGCGAAACGTGTGCAGATATAGCATTGATTCTGTTAACCAAAGTGCCATGTAAACGATTGCCCTACAAATAAAGTCGTATAATACACACGTAGGCCTTGCCCAATTTTTTTCAAATGCCACTCTTTTCCCATGTAGGTCAAATGCATTACGATGTCAAAATTGACCCGGTTCTTTTTGTGCTTAGAAGAAGGTTTTTTGAAAGTTTTGAAATGAAAACAATGATATAACGTTTGTGAACAGTTAGAGATTATTTTGAAAAACATTAACTTTTTAATGATGTAATTCGTACCTACCTGTTCCAATTAGTAGTTTCCAGACATATAGTGATTAACGAATTGTTAAGATGTAGGAAAGTAGAACGGGGGCATCAATTTCAAGGTCGAACGTAGCTGAACAAATTTATTTTGAACGGTCAAATTCAGCGGTAACATCAAAACACCTTGGAGAAATACATCCTGTGCTACACACGGATTCTAGATATTATCGAGGTCATCACACTATTCGAATAGCCCTGATAATTCAAACTGAACTGCTCAGCCTCAATTCGCGGCAGTAACCAGATATTACAGTAGTCACGTCTTCAAATACATTGAAATGTTGAAATTATTGAAAAGAAATCTAGAAAACTTTTTAAAAAGCAACTTTATAAAAATCAAAACATATTCTGGTGAGCGTTCGTCAAGTACAAGAATGCCTGGAAAGCAAGGCTCCATTTGTCAACTTAACGAATATAATAATGAATAAATGCATTAATGTAAAGTTAAAGGTTTAAAACCACTTTTTCGTAATTGACGGACGATTTATATCGTTTTTGTCTAGTGTTTCTTAATAAACGCACGGTGCGCATACGAAGACTGAAAGTGTACGTCCGCCTGGTTGTGTGCGCGGCCTCAACCGAGTTTTGTCGATGCTTTCTCGAGCGGCGAACCGGGTCGCGTTCTCGATGCCCCGTGCTGAGCTGCTTCGTACCAACTGCTGCCAGAGTCTCGACGAGCTTGACACACGCACACCAACGCACGGCTGAACCATCTACATGCACACCCACATCTAACCGAGATGTATTGTGTCAGGGCTAGTAAATAATTTTAATAAACGCGCCGAGCGAGGAGAGCTCGCAATAAGAATATTTCAACCTACCGTAGATAGTTTGTGCTGAACAGTAAGTACTTGGTAAATTGCAAAAAGGAGGGCACAGCTACATTTGCATATTTAAAGGTTAAAGGTAAAGATAGACTTTACCTGTAGGTGTGGACAGATAACGTGGCCATAAGATGTGGGATAAATGTACTTTTAATACTTGATGTTTTTTTATTCAAATTAGTCATTATAAATTATTGTATTATTCAAGATTATTTAAAATGACCCCGCTTGTGTAATAGCTTGTGTTTGCTAAACAAAGCACAAGGTTTAATGTTGTTCCGGCTCTGCGTATCATGTCGATGTGCTTATACCTTCGGCCTCGTCCTCTCCTTGCCGATACTAATCCTTCTGGATTCAATGTGATTCTTTCATTGTAACTTATTTCAGTGAGCGCTGTTGTCAAGGCGGTAGTTGCTATAACATATTGCAGCGACGAGGCGATATTACTTCCCCTGTACATTTAAATAACAACTATAGAATTAAATCTGTCTGATTCCTAAATGACCATCAAAATTGTTAGATAAAATTAAAGGCAATCGACAGTGACGACCCTCGTCAGTGTAGGAAGTAGGGTCATGCAATTTATATTAGGCTGAAGTCAAGGTCTCACCAATCATTTTGGCCATCTAGTAATTCATAGGACAATAAAAGTTGAGGCCGAATCATTTCAGCCTTCTTTGTCACTTTGTAATGAGTAGAAAGGACTTTGCAAGTTTCCTGATGAAATCATTGGCGACAAGCATTATAATAAATAGGCACATCGCATTTATAACAATTTTCTAATCTTTATTATCTATTTGCGATTGCATATTCATGGCAAAACAATGTAGAACTCGTAGGGCCGAGGTGGCACAGTTTCTTGTTTGAGTTATAAATCAATCTGTCCTAGTTAGATTAGCGTCTGCATGTGCTACACCGTCATCGATGTCTTCGCTTTCCAAAGGCGCTGTTGCCAAATACTGATGGTGTATGGTGGCTGGCGCATGGCGGGGCATGTTGCGTGGACCGTGTATCAGTTTCATTCCGTTTCCCATTCGCCCACCTTTGCGTGCGCTCTTACATAACCGGCTTCGCAAACTCCTGCTCACGTCACTCTTTGTATTTAAAACGTGTTAAGTGTCGTTGTAATCATTTCAAAATGATTTCCCCGAGAAGTTGGTAACTTTCACGCTATATTTGGAACTGTTGATAGGTCGATTGTGATTATTTGAACGCTGTTTTTGATGGATTTCTGTGCTTTCAGAATAACTAACTTAAATATGTTTGTACGATTTTATAACAGCTATCAGTTGTTGAATATTAATGTGAATAATTAGCCCAACTATAAATAAGTAAATGGATTTACAACGTAACGGTAGCAAGAAAAACCGCTTCAGTGTTCACATGCGAGGCATTCTGTTTGATTCAGAATTGGCCGTTCGTCCTCGGCCTCGCTCTACCGCTTCCGCCTTACAGCTTATCCTCGCGTTGTGCCCATGATAATCTTTTGTAGTGTGAGCCTTGATCCTAGGTCTCTTCCTAAGTAACCTCACTCGTCTATTTAATACTATAACAATATTGTCATTTCCTTTCTAGGTATAATCAGCAAACCGCGCGCTCCTCTTCGTTGAAGTACGTAATATTTTTAATTCTTTTATATTTTATTTACCTTTAACAACTTTTTGGGTTCTTATACATTTTATTTAACATGTTGCTAATGGAACTTAACTTTATTTTGGTATTCAATTTTGGTTACATAAAGGGTTATGTAATAATCTTGTTAAATTTTCTGAAACGTGATTGAAGAAGTCATATAGTCGATAAAGTAACTGGAAATATGTTTAGAAAAAGATAATAAAGTAACGTTTTTCATAATTTGCAATATTCATGTGAGCAGTTTCAATAATAACGTTGGTTTTATTGTGCCACGTGCAAACAGGTAGGCGTGAGTGCGTCTACGTCACAGCCCAGCCTATGAAGGTCATGACGTAACGACGTAGTCTCACCATTATTCAGTTTGTCGATCCATCGCTCGATTCTTCACGAGGCCAAACGTTCTATTACTCGACAGCAGAGGTTATGCGCGCTTTTATAATTCTGTCTCGTTTCCTTAACTTCAAGACCGTTGGCGGGCGGCAGTGGCTCCCGTCATTAAAGCCTAATAGCACTCTGATTTACAACCAGGAAATGTACAGTCACTTCGTAGCAACGCGACACGAGTGATCAAACCAATAATTCTGCAAGTACATCTTTGTTATGTCATGCCATAATATTTTAGTGTGAATGAAGTTAACACATAAAGTTAAATATTCCGTAGCGGATAACTTTCGTAATATTTGTGTTTAAGAAGCGCTCGCTGATATCGCTCTGGAACTTCGCCAAGTCTTACCGACGCAGCGCTCTGGAGAAGGTCTGGAATCTTATATAAACACAAGAGATTTAGAGTAAATTGTACTTCTGATATTCTTCTGCGATGACCTTTACGAAATGGTCTTCAGCTTTTTGCGGATGCTGTGGACCTAATGTGGCTGGTAAATTATTCATAACAACCTGTTGATAATTAATTCTAACGATACTGTATATTGTTGTTACATAAATTATATTATCATTGTTGGAGGTCTTTTATGGATTCAGGTATGAAGCCTTCATAGAATCCTTAGGGGTGGTATTTGCCTAACTTTAGTTTTAGTTTTTTTTTTCGGGGAATAAAAAATCTTCTGCTATCTTCGGTTCTAATACTATTCAATGTTTTCACAGTTTCCTTCGTAATCCAAGTGAGCTCATGTTCTATAATTATTTTACGGAAATCGTTGATGTAGATTACTAACTTATCCGATAAAGATTGAAATAGGATGTCGCCTATTCTGAAAGAATTGCTATTGGTGACTTTCATTGATTAATTTTATCTTTCAATGTCACAACGATAAAGCTTCGTTCAAACAACCGCGATACCGTCTCTTGGTACAATATCGCTATTTGTCTTCACATATAGCTGAGCAAATTTTACTTGCGCAGTTTTGTTGGTCAAATTACAATATATCATGCAGTCATTGGTTTACCTTGCAATAGTGTTGTGTACATGCACTTATCATTACACAATTAGCACCTTAGACTTCATAATCTATTACTACTCAATTTTTTTTTGTATTTCTGTTAAAATCTATCTGGATTTTGCAATATTTTTTAAAGATTTCGTTTGTGTCACCGTTGCAATTGTTGCCTCCATTATTTGTTTTACCTTCATTAATTTCATTATGTCATTATCTAATGTAAATTGATAGGAATTCTTAGGACTCATTCCATCGTTTTTAAAATCAAAGGTTCTCTTAATGTATGTTATAGATTGTGTGTCGTTGTATGTAAGTAGTTGATTGCGGAAGGCTTAAGGCTTAACATTTTATGCTATCGCAATTACAACTACTTTATAGCATTTATACTCGGCATGTATTGAATAAATACTCGTAATCTATCGCTTACATTTTTTAACGATAATGGTTTAATTATGTATTATGATGTACCATAGTCATTGTCGATATTAATGATTAGCCATCGTATTCGTTTTCCTGTTTTTGTTAGATCTTTGATGTGTTATGTGTTAGCTTCCTTATTAGTATCTCTAAAATTAGCTTTTGGCCCTGAAAAGCAAATAAATGACAGATATGTAAAACTGTAGTTGTTTATGATAGCAACTGTTTTATAGAACTTGTAACACATTTTTGGTGACATGCGGAGATTACTGGAGCGACATGACGTAGCCTCATAGCAGTGCGTAGCTCTCGGATTTCTCTCGTGCCTAAATTGACATGTATTGCAAATGATACGTGATTATCGAGCTCTACTTACGGCATATTCCTTAATTGTCTTGTTGCCACACGTACGGCCATCAGCTATTGAGATGACGTAGCGTCGGAGCACGGTCACCTTGCGCGTCCTCGCACATCGCGGACAAATAAAGGTGGTGAGCATTTAGTTCCGCGTTTGCATTCTCGCTCCAACTGCGAAATATTACAATTATGTAACAGCGCTTTACATTATCACCAACAATAATTACAATATTCATCACCTTTCCTTTGTCATACAATTCTCAACCTAATGACCGTATTAGTTTATCACATAGTTGACTAGCATGTTTGTTGTTTTTATCATCACAAAGACGTGTTAATGTTATTGTCGCCGAGTTTACAAAATTGGTTCTTAAACGCGTCTACAATATTATACATTTCATTATGAGTGCAGTCAACAAAGGCGAATAATAACAAATAATGTGAAGCGCGACCGGGAACTACGGCTAACGTTCAACTGCCAGCTGTTTTAACAGTGACACTTACTGCTAAGGATATAAGAGTCATTTTTGCGATGTACTATTATACTTGTTTGTAGTGTCTCTTCAACCCCTCTGACTATTGATGCTGTGAGGTATAGCTATCCCTTTTCCACTCCATCTTCCCTTTCTGCCCCACGGCGCGGCGGAGATAACCGGACGAAATTGAAGTAATATTTTATGGACTTACACTTTGTAGAACATGCACTTCCACAACTCATTTGTGTATCGTCGCTTGAAGAGGTTTCACTGTTTACTTTCCCATATTGCGTATAACGTTACACAAGGCCTGCTTGCAAAATCGCTTTGGGGTTGCCTGCGACATATTGAACACTTTTTCTTTAACTTTTAAACAATGGTTCCAGTTGTTAAAGAACATACAAGATTTCGAGGTCTCTTTATAAACTTAGTTCACTGACAATGGTTCAGTGAAAGTCGCGAACATTTCGATTGTCGGTACATTTAAAAGGTTACATGGTTTCGGTCGCAGTAAACTAATTACGTGTCAATAAAATGTTGTTATTTGACTCTGAAGTCGATGTCGCTGTTTTATTGTTATATTTACAACGTTTGAGACGATGACGGCGGCCGCAACCTTGAATATATCATGTGTTTGATTATTATATACGTCACTCGTTGTATTTCAGCCGATTCATTAGCACAAATTCCAAAAATATTGTACACAATCTCTTAAGTACATTTCGTATCGCAGTCATTGATTAAAATATAGTTTTTAACTATTAAACATTCCTCCAAAAAATATATTGAATTTTTTTGGCTACTTTCCATTTGTATATGCACTGAATGTACTCAAGTGTGATGGTTTTTTATGGAGAACGTCTCAGATATAGATAAAACCAGCGGTTAACCTGATACGAAAGACCTTCAATCACAGTCAATATTTTATTTCTCATAAAACCTTGCTCGATTTTCACTTAACACATTTGTCCTATGTAAAGAGGTCGAGTGTTAGAAACAAATATGTATTTCTTAGTTATGTTTACTATGGCTAACAATATCGTTCATAACTAACGCAAATACATAAGTCTAGGCAAATACGCCGCATATTTATGTAGCCAATAATATAGACATCAACAATTACTTTACACAATATATCACGTAGTCGTAAAGAATAATAGTAACGAGTTTATCTACCATCGTTCGTCGGTTAATTTACGAGCGTATTCACCGCAGACGGCTTTGAGCAGCCTGACCGCAACTTCGTCAGAATCTAGAACGAGCTCGGAATTATGTTTTGCTTTTAATTTCATACACTGCTTGTAGCAAGACCCTACTACCAAAGCCGTGCAAAGAGCTCGCTCCGTTCCTTTTCCACCCTACCTCCTGGACGGGAAAATCGATACCATTTTCATCGTAGTCTACTGCAACTTGCAATTGAATCTCTTTTCCTTCTCTGTATCATAACGACGTATTTAAACTTATATGTAAATCTTTGTTCGAACTAACAACACGTTTCCTTTGTCAGTAATTACTCAACATAGATTGCTCACCCTACCGCTTCCACCGAAATTAGGTTTTGTTATTTGGAACACTAGATGTTTGTAACGCCTAAGTAACCTCGACATCTGTACTTGTTGCGTCACCACCGGACATGATACAATACCTCTATTATTAAAATGTCACAGCACAGAGAATCGTTTACTCGCTTTGTCTACAAGACGAGACGACCTCGTATCCACTTAAACCGTCTTCAAGCCGACGCAGACCAGTCTTCTATAGGAAAACTGGCACGAAATCAATAGTATGGAATGTATTAACGCCCCCTTTCTGGCTCTTATTGTGCATAGTTACATCTAAAAATTGTTTAAGTATTAATATTATGTTAATGTTTACTTTAGATGCAGACTAGAGTAAAGCAATATCAACAGGTATTTTTCCTGTCCTGTAGACCTAATACGGTTCTAAACTATTCCATGTATGAATATTGCAAACTGTTTCCCATTGTTATTGTCGCATTGTTTTGCCCAACAAAAGTGTGTGCAACGTTATAACGATGCAGATATCGTAGGACTATTGCTCGCTGTAAACAAACCGTCCTTCAGATCCCAGTCGAGGACCCTATAATGTCGGGTCGTCCTCAGGGCGTCTGAGTCACAACACGCAGTCATCGTTAAGAGGGCATTGCTCACTTGGTTACTCCCCCCTTGGCACGCCCGCTGCATCAGCGAACCACCGTTTGTAAAATAAAACCAGTCACATGCGTATCAGAACATTCATTGTTCTATCGTCCTTATTCCGATTCCATTGTCTCGACAAGCGTCCGCCATTATTATTATTGATTGCAAATTTATGGCTATACAGCCTTATTGTGAACCTTTCAGGGCTTAACATATATAGGACATGTACGACTAATTGTAAATAACAATGTAATGGGCACGGAAAACCACAACGTTTATTTAAGCTAAAAGCTAAATATATGTTATAATAATAACTTAGCCTTAATTCTATGTTAACATATTCACGCTGAATATTATTTTACACGCGTATAAATCAGGAATAATAAAGGAAATTAATTGCGAATGAAAATGTTAGCGCTGTAACTACACCATGGTTGTATTGCAATATTTCTTTGTTATGCTAATATAGAGCTTTCATATGACCGTACTCTATTTGTAATTCGTGAATGATTAAATAGATACGCATCCGTGATTATCTGTTGATGGAAATTCAGAGGCTGTGACACGACAGAAACTGATGTTTCGTTGTGTCGGACGTCACTGCTAAGGTACCAATAACTCAATCAGCTAAAAACGACGGAGTCCCCATTCCCTGTTTTTATGGCACCTACTTACAGCTTGAGATTTACCAACCGATCCCGATAATGTAGTGAAACGACGTCGAGAGAACTTAAATATAGAAGAGGATGCAAGCTGGTCGGGTGACATCTATAATAAGACCACGGGAGACCGATGATACGTACTACGTAGATTGCTCAACATTTCACGGGTTGTTGACTTCTTCATTTTAATATAAAAGGTCTATAATTCAGTCAACCATAGAATTTTTACTAATAAAATTAAATTAGATTTTTTTCATTGACATTAAAAATCTCCAAAAATTACATGACATTTTAGGGTCATTTAACAAATGGATATTGCTATTTAATTTTAAATGATGACTTCAAAAAAATCTAAATTTTGTAAAGAATTATTATAAAGCTGGATGGTAAATTTAATAAATAATCTCCAGAAACTTTAGAACTCCATAATTTTACTTTGATGATGATTTTAATTAGATTCTATAAAAACTACGTTCAGTAAATCAGTAAATTAGATGAAAGGCTCTTAGATACTCAAATGACGCTATTTAAATAATAAATCTGTCTTGACAAAAAGCGCTATCATTTACGATACAATAGTTTTTTGTGTCGTTAGCCTGGTGGTCCCACCGGTGGGTGGTCTACCGCAAGGGCCATCCGGCCCCACCGCAACCTTTCCATCAATATCCTACGAATCAAGTGAAATCCTTCTCATCTTACACTAAATGCGTCATATGTGCACCGCAGATTATGGCAACAGTTTTAAATGTAGGCCAAAAGCAATAGATGAGTTGATATGATGATTCACCTATTGTTAATCGTCATAGGAGCGGTTTACTGAAGCTGAATGTAGGTCGGTCGGGCCGCTCCATTTGCTACAGTGGCAAATTGTTGATCGACCTCGGAGTGATCGTTGCGCGTACGATATCTTATCTACAGCCCAACAGAATGAAAAACTTATCCACCTATTAAAAGTTGACGTGAAACAAATATTTAATCTAACATGTGTAATGTTCTGCTGAAATGTTTGACTTCTGATTTCAATTAGTAAATCGTTGTTGATTTCATCATGACATATTTTTATTATGAGTTTTGCAATGTTTCTATCTAGGTGAATTTGTAGGAATTTGTAACGAGGGAAACTTTTGAGTGAAATACCTAATTTAAAAGGTGTTAAAAATATTTGTCTTCTTCAACATCACATCAGTTGTGAAGAGTCGGCTCTCGGCAGTCGCAGTTTCTGGGTCGTGTCGATTAATTCACTTAGCCTACTTTTATTTAGTGCTGTGACACTTTTTTATGTTTGACATACTTCATTTGATTGCTCGAATGCAGACCAGAACTGTCCATTTTGTTCCAGCTATTCCTATGTAGGTCCAGCTATTACCCTGCTTTTTTATTCGTTTTAAATTCTGTTTATTTATATTTTAGTCATCATGATTTAATAGCATGCGATGTTTTGGAGCAGTGTTTGTATTAATTAAATGATAACAATCTGTTTGGTTAGGTTAATGTTTCACAATGGAATGACCATGTCGCTCGTCAGGAATCTAGGATATTCTCTCATCACTGTCATGACATTGTTTGTCGTAATAAACCACGTTATTGTAAACTTTAGTTTATTAGAGATTGTAAATTGTGTAGGTGTACGCTCTGAGGAGACCAGTAATAAAAAATAATTCATTGGCTCTTTGTTGCTAATTATCTTTGTTTACACTTTGTCTTCGTTTCAATTGAAATTGGATGTAAATCAAATGTTATTTTTAGGAATAAATCGAACTCTGAGACTTAGTTTATTCTTCTGCTTGTGCAGAAAAGAATGGTAAACAATGCCATTATAAAAATCGTCAAAAATTATTCAGAACCGAATGTTGAAATTGGGCGCTCGAAATAAAACGCTCCCGAAATACAGCTGACAAAATAAGTATCCAGTTAACTCGCGTGATACGATTATACGTTCACAAAAAGCGACCGCACGCGGACTGTGAACGGATGCAGTGCGGTGATGAAACTGACACAGATTCTAACGCGTATTTGGTAATCGAAATACAGTTCGTGAAAGTCTCGCAGGACGGTCAAATCTCGCACATTGTAAGTGTCCCACTTCGACATACTCTCGACATTTTGACGGCACCGAAACCCAAAAGCCGAAAGATACTAACGTGTAACTCTTCTTTCGCCGGGTCGTCATTGTTCAGCAACCGTCCTCGGTGCGCACGTACCGGTACATACATTTATAAAGTGTATAATGTATTGTGTTCGCGTCCCAGATTTGGGAAGCGAAACTACGATCGTTGATTGGCGTATTACGACGTTGCTACATTTTCGCCTTGCATTCAATTCTATGAGAATTTGCAGGTATTGCTTATCGGCCACTAGGTCACTCGTTAGCGTATTGTATTTGTTACATTTGGCCGTCTACGCAATGTACCTAAAACATTTAAGCTTTTTATCCGTGTTAGAAATTACTAGGACACCTTAGGTAACCCATTTTATTGTTGCTCTATCTCACGATACATTGGAAATTGTGTTAGGTTCCAACGTTTTGCAAGAGATAATGTAGCAACGTATGTTTATCTTATTTGTTGGAAACTAGCACATTATAAGATTTCTGACTTAGACGGTGACATAAAATGCTCAATCAATACGCCAAGGTGTCCTGTTACTTAAGTTTTATTGAACAGTAATATGTACATAACAATTACCGTCATGTGTGTATTGAATACCTATTAGTCTGTGTTGTATCTGAGAAACAAGCTAGTCAAATGTTAACTCATTTTCCGAATAAAGCCTAAATGCCAAACTACAAGTTGGTGACATCATTAAAGTTGTCCTGTTTGACTTACTCGTTTCGTTTTTATTATTTTGCTTATTATATTGCATCATCGATCGATGAATTCCTTATTATTATAACAAGTATATTAACTGTTATGATCGCTGCTGACATAGAGATAAATGGGAACATGTTTTTGTGTTATCATCAAGCATTTAGATTTTAGGACTAAATAAACTCACTTATCGCCTTCTTTGTTTGTTGTTTACTAAGTATAGATTTGTTCATTAGTATGTATTTTACTGGGTACATTATTGTATAGATCGACGATCACATTAAGATAAACGTGTTACGCCATGAAATCAATTTCCTGGTGTCTTTAAATACTCATTATTGACTTGTCCTTCTCAATTAATTCTTCATTAGGAAGCATGTCTCATTATTTGTTTCATTTCTGATCTTTACGTCTTGGCTTTTGCCATTATTATAATAAGGCTATAACTGTCGTCTTCATTATGACTGTTATTTAATGAACTGTGTCAATTAGGCCAGTTCTCATTGAGCCACTTCCTCTCAGATATTAACATGAGCACTCGAATTCGTTTGTTTCTGTAAGTAATTGAAGCTATTGTATTCAAGAGTTTCATTTGCATGGGAAAACTTGGTAGGATTGTTACTCGTGTAGCGTCTCGTCTCCTCTCCACCCTCTTCAATGAATCGATTTTCACCTTCGTATTTATGACCTGGCATATCTTTGACGCATTCATTGAGTCTGCTGTCAGAAAACTTAAAGCTAATTTATAAAAACAAGTTTAATACAGATACATGCCTTTCAGCTGAAACTTATGTATTCGCCCATTGTAGAAAACAATAAATTATCTGCTTTAAGTATTTTGTATATCAGAAATACTAACTACTTTTAATTGACTTTAAAACTATTTGTGTGTTGATTCTCAGTTTTGATATTCTTTTAGATCAGTTTGTGGTTTTTCCTTAGGTTTCCCAAGCATGGTCATAGTGGGTTCAATATTTGGTGCAAGTAGATTTATAGATGGTTATGCATTGTTGCAGGCTCGGGTCAGGCAGCGAGTGCGGCGGTGGAGGCGCGGGCGGCGGCGCGGCCGCTCCGCAATCGGCGCGCGTCTCCTCGAACGGCGCCGGCGGGATGGCGGTGAGCCGCGTGCCCAGCCCGCTGCACGACGGCAACACGCCCGTCGCGGAAAACTGGTGCTTCACACAGGTAATGTATGGTATCCATCTAAACTTGTAACCCAAACCGTTACGCCACGCGATTGTAGCTTGCTGCTTGCTGCGCGCCGGAGTACCCTGTGTTGTTACATTGTAGAAATCTTCCATACGATCTGTATAGCATTATTGTACTATATTGTATGGTTCATCAATTTTCATTCAAGTCTCATAAAGTATTAACTTATTCCAATGAAAAACAAAAGCTCCAGACAAACAAAGCTTGAAGGTTGACGTGAATGGCAAGGGCATTCCATGGCCGACTGAAAATATAACTGAAATCGGAAAATGGGCCCAGAAACAGAAGGTTTTAGTCACGCAACTCAGAAAAACCTTATAAAAGTTACGGATTTATCAAATATACGTCAGAAACTCATACATGGGTTTGTACGTAGTATTAATACAAGTCATATGTTGATGTGGTGCGAATGGCGATAATAATTGTTTACCAAGGCCGTTATCGGTGAACTTGAAATATGTTGCGCGCATATGCATATTGTGTTAACGTATACATACATATTTAAAGCTACTAGGAAGAGCGGTGCACGTGTCCGCTGTTCAAACTACAGAGGTGACTCGTGCGTCACGTTGTGTAGCTATACATATAACTACTTACAGTCGAGACTAGCGGTATGCGTCGGTCTCGCGGCATGTCACCGATTTAGTGATATTAAAAAGCCAATTTCAAAAACGTTGCTCGGATAAACGCAGACGTGATAACTGAGCAATGCCAAGCCAAACATTCGACGTCATATTCTCACATGTTACATAATAGTCGTTTGTTCTCCCAGACGTCAATAAAACATATTAGCAACAGTATGCTGCGTACTGATAACAAAGTTGGCCATCCGATGAGGTGCTTTATTCGGCTCGAGTAGTTAACTAGGTATCACTATGAAAATGCTATTTTCCCGGCCGATGGTCATCGCTAAAGTAATTGGAACGACCGTTGTGCGACATAGACTCGCCGACCTGGTATTACCTTTTTGATACTTTTTGTCCAAAAATCTATTTAGTCTACAATAACGGTGATTTTTTGCTTGCTTTGTGAGCAACCGCTGCCGCACGTACATTTATTAAGATCTGTCTCAAGTTTTAATCTTTAGGAATCTGTTGTGATGTGTTCGTGGTCGTACCGTTATTTAACGGAGTTTACATTAAAATAAATGTTCGCAGCGTAAACGTAATGGTATGCGTGTATTGTAGTGATTGTTGTACAATGTGCAGGAGACTGCGTGCTTCCGTGCAGGACGCTACGGTGCAGTGTAGTCTGTAGTCTCAGTTGTACACGTGTTCTCTGTTGGCGCTTCTGCTACGCTGCTACACGTGCCGCTCGTCGATAATCACGTTCTTCATTAGTACTCGGAAACGCGTCAACAATAAACCTCGCATGTTATCGCTACAATTAGAGCTCTCTTTGAACTAAGGAACTGAGCCATACACAAACGACGGTACTATGAAACCATTACGTATTGTAAATCACTTTACTTCGAAATGGCTATTAAAATTACTGCCATTTACTTACATTTATCAACAAACTAAGCCTTTGCAACTACACATTCATACTCTGTACATTGCAAATGCGTATTGTTGTTGAATTATTATTTTACCTTAGATGCGCCACGCTCTTGATTTGTCAAGATGGTTAGAAATGATTAGGCCCACGTATTTTCCTCCACATTGTTATTTAAAAACAAGTTTCTCTAAAAGAGTGCTGGTTTTATATGAAGAGCACACATATAAGGCTTTTATGTTGCGGTGGAATCTGTAAACGGATGTTATCTATGTGTCCGCGAATGCGCGGAGACCGGGGATGATGCGGGCGGCCTTGGCGCGGGTCGGCGACCGGGCGAAGACCCCAGCAGCACCGCAAGCCAAGCAACGGTCGAGGGCAACGACCAGCGGCGGCCAGGTTGCGCCCGCGACTTGCTACGCCTATCCTCCTGACCGACGCCGTGGCCCAAGTGTCCACCCGCCGAAGCTCAGGGCCCCCGACAATGTGCCGATCACGTTCACCTAACTCGCACCATGCTAATTATATTGTTACGAATGAATTATATACCGTCAGACATATTCAAATCGAGCTGCCATAACCGTATTCAATAGCTACACCAAATGTGACTGTGGCCATTGAAATTACCTGAAACCAAGATCAAAGACTGTCGAACCCGATAATATAAACTGTTTAAAATATACTTACAACAAACGACATCGTAACCTTGGAGCATGAATGAAATAATGAGTGTTGCCCATTTTGTTCATGAAACTTTATTTGCCATAAATAAGTCGTTAAACTGGTTGTTTGTTTTTCATGGTGACTGTCGGTGAGGCAATTAAGGACAATGCACGAGCACTAAGCTCAGTAGTTAGAGCCCCGTCCTGTCGAAGATTTATCGCTAGCCACCCGGGGACACCTTGTGAGACTACCCGCTTCCCTCGCTGATTTATGGCTTTCCATTATTTATAAAGCATTGTACTTGCATCATTCTGCCTGATGACTATCTCCACCTACAAGTTTGTGTCTAAGCTTTTGCGTAGTTCTACAAGCATACATAAGCATTTTATTCGTCTTTCATAACTACCTACTTATGTAACATAATAAAGTGACGTTTAAGTTAAAGTTAATTTTCCTTTGTTTCAGGTCAAAGTGGTTAAGTTCAGTTACATGTGGACAATAAACAATTTTAGTTTCTGTAGAGAAGAAATGGGTGAAGTGTTAAAATCATCGACTTTTTCAGCAGGTGCTAGTGACAAGTTAAAGTGGTGTCTTCGTGTTAACCCTAAAGGACTCGATGAAGAGAGCAAAGACTATTTATCTTTATACTTATTATTAGTGTCGTGTAATAAATCAGAAGTGCGTGCAAAGTTTAAGTTCTCAATATTAAATGCAAAACGGGAAGAAACGAAGGCGATGGAGTCACAGCGTGCTTACAGATTTGTTCAAGGAAAAGATTGGGGGTTCAAAAAATTTATCAGAAGGTGAGTCACACAATGTACTACTACCTATTCATAGTATTCCAACTGTTACACCGTCATCTGCTCAACAAAGTAATACGCAGTATTAGTCACAATTTTGATAAAAGTAATTTTATCGTACATATTGTTTTTAGGTTCATTCCCCCGAAATAATTTCAAAATATCACTTTTTGACGACGAAAAATCACAGGATTGTGTAGGTTTTTGTAGCTTTACGCGTCGTAACAGTTAGGTTGGGGGCGGACCCCATAGCCGAGCACATAATTTTATTCCCTGCTGCTGAAAATATGGGTTTCTCGCGAGGGCTGGAAGAACCATAATAAGTAGAGCTTTAGCAACACACGTGCGATCAGCATTGAGGGCTATAATGATAGGACGGTGTATTATCGAGGGGTCTTGTGATATTGGTTTTGATGTAAATCAACCCCTTTGGAAGTCACGCGTTCAATATATCCGGTATACAGACGAAGCTAGTCAGGGTTATATTACAATCGTTATTTCCAAGTATCCTTATGTGGTTAAAAAATCTAGTCTACGAAGCCCCAAAAACTAAAGATCCTTGAGAAATTAAGCACAGTCTCTACTTATCCTATTAGCAGTATTTTTACCTGGCATACATTCTTGGAAATAAGCCTAGATTGATACAATTGGTTCGGAAACCCTTTTTAGGTCAAGGTGTGGACGATGTTCATTAATCTAATTCTAACAATTTTATAACTACCTGTTGCCCGCTGGGCCGTCCGTGTCCATGAGCCTTTTTATTAATAGTTTTACTTAACTAATTCCGTATTTAACTTGCGTTTCATTTTTTTCTACTAAGCGTTTAACTTTTATAGCAACAGTTATTGTCTATAATGGGATACTATGAATGGTATGGTTATTTTTACCACACACGTAAGCCTGTGTATATTCAGCTGGCATATAAGGAAAACCTGGACCCTATTTCTCAAAAAAGATTTCTATGCTTCACTAGAACTACGGACAAAAACGCCATAGTTGACTTCACGATTCAGTCAACAAACAGTAGATTCCTTTGATATAAATATCAGCCAGTAATACGTTTACAATAGCAAACTTTTCCCCTAATACCCGAATACTTGGGTTCGCATCCAAGAGGGAGCGGGCGCCACTAACGACCGCCTTCGGGCCAAATCTACCATTGCATTGCGCCTCATTGCGGTGATGCGAATACCACAAGGTTTACTCCAACTTCACTGAGTGCTAACAGTTTTACGACACCGTAAAAATGAGAACAAGAACATTTGCTTATACCTATAAATCAGTTACCTTCAAGTTTATTCTTTGCTACATTTACTCACGAATTTTTATAACCGATAGGAGATGTTTAGACGGGCTCTTTCTCCCGCATAGCTGTCGATGACGGTGGTGCTAGAAAGTTTTGTATCAAAACAAATGCTCGCAGCTCGCAGTGTATTCGATTTTCCTTGCAATTAATCCACTTGTATAAATTTCTATGCATAGTAATAATATTCATCAAGTGTTGCGCTCTGCGTATTCCCGGGAACTCCAAAGTAGAACAACTAATCGTAACTGCAGGAAATTCCTATGATACTGATGCTACAAAGAATGTAATCTAATATAACATTTCTGCAATTTCCAGAGACTTCCTATTAGACGAAGCGAACGGGCTGCTGCCAGAAGATAAGCTGACGATATTCTGCGAAGTGTCGGTAGTGGCGGACAGTATCAACATTAGCGGGCAGAGCAACGTGGTCCAGTTCAAAGTACCAGAATGTCGACTTTCCGACGACTTAGGGGCTCTCTTCGACAATGAAAGGTTCTCTGACGTCACATTGGCAGTTGGCGGCAGGGAATTCCAAGCACACAAAGCTATTTTAGCAGGTAATTTACATTCGTGTACTTACTTTGTTATCGGTATTACGTTTTATGGCGTTACATAAAAGATAAGCCCTAGTTAGTCTATTTGTTACAAAGCAGCTGCTGAGCATATTAATTCTGGATCTGAAACAGGGAAATTGTATGCAGATTTTCAATTTCGCGTCTATATTTGCGTCCAATTACACGGAATTAATAAACGTAAATGCGCACTTTTCTTCGAAAGGCCGTGTTGTATGATTGTTATATCATATTATGAAATTCTTATAACATTCGCTGGAATTATTTCTAGATATACGACATGATAGTACTGATGTCACGCGTAATAAATGCTTTTTATCTAAAAGATTTTTGTACGATATGAAATCAACAGTTTTGTAGCAATGTTTTAATATTCATTTTTACTAACAAAGCAGTATTTATTAATTATATTTTACATGTGAGAATTTTAGGCCAAGGAGGGGACATTAATCTATTTTTGTCCCGTAACCCCCTGCCTATCTAACTATAGTTTCCTTGTACCAGATTTGAGTGGAATTTCCGAGCGCGGCTGACTAACAAACAAATTAGAACTCGTATTATTGCTTACTAGCTTTTTTCTTACAGTTTCTATCAATAGGTCTCTCTAGGAATATCGGGAACGAAAGTAACCCATGTTACTACCCAAAGAGCAGATTTTGTCTCGGCGGGTTTCCAAATGGATCCTGTTATTTCGGAACCTATTTTAATGGGAACTAGCAATGAAATCATTCCACTTTACAATAATTATGAAGTTAATGGTATAAATAAACGTTTAATATACATTTGAATATTATTAAATTGCAGAAAATTATTAAATTTAAACTAATATTTTCCGCCATGACATTACCGTATCAATACAATAAACCGCAGTGCTGAGTGCTGACTAAGCTTACAATAATAAGTTAGTAATACAATAACAAAAACAACAATTATTATTATTATCATAATGTTATTGTTACTTTACAATACATTGGGTTTTTACACCCATTCCTTTAAACAGGAACTATATCGACAGCCCGTAACAGAGACCTTAGTGCGAGTTTGTCTACGCGTTTGACGCTCTCATTGGCCGGCTCCAATAAACCAACCAATCAGCACCGAATGCGGTCTCGTTTCGAATACTTTAAACGTAAAACAAGCTCGTATTGAAGCCTCAGTAAACTGCTGGATTATACCAACTCTGGCGGATAGACTGACCGACAATTGGAACCTGTTAAGCAGGAAAGATCCAGCCTACATTTTATTACTTTTGTGTAAATGAAGTTTAAGGTTGGGCAGATAATAAAAAATCATATCTACTGGACCTTCTCCGTGTGAGAAGGTTTGGTTGCTTTAGTCAGCAGTGGACATTTATAGGCTGTTGATGATGTATCTGTATCATATTATGATTTGACACAGTATCTATTGAATAGATACTGTATCATAATTATGATTACTTTAAACTTCATTTACTCAAAAGTATCATTGGTGCAATTGATGTTTCAAAAGGCTCGTTTTCAAGAATTAATTTAAATAAATGCTTTGACTTGACGGCTTTTCTTTACATAGGAATGGTTTGCCATGATCTCCACCCTCAGCAGGCCAGTTGGACATCGCAGTTCTTTGCTTCAGTTCAGAGAACACTTTGCTTTTATAAACCCTTATAATGTAATAAGATACACGGGCCTTTGCTGCTGGTCTTTGTTAAGTGTGTAGACCCTTAGTGGGGTCTTAGGACACAGGAACAGTATTATTTACAATAAAAATGTATTCTTCTCTGCTACTTACTACATGGCACGTTTTTAGGAGTAAACAGCAAGCAATGTGCTATAATTCCCAATATTCTTTTAATCCAGAACATTTGATTACAATGTGTTATTTGTTACAAATTGAATACACATAAGTAGGTTGTGATAACGTCCGAAACTAGAATACATAATTTCCGTTACTTTTTCCCTGTTGTAACAAAATTGAAACTGTATTGTTTTACTTTTAATGTTTAATTATGACATCAGTACTGCACCTCCTCATATTCATCTCTGTAGGTCGAATATTATGTGTATTTTTATTTTGTCTGAGGTAAATTAGTAATGTAGTAAATAGATCCTTTAATATTGTTATAATTCGTTTGACTTTGAGATCTTTACATTTTTACATACATTGTCTGCTTTATTAAAATAAGTTAATAGACCTTTTTGTAATGTCATAAAAAAACTGCACACAGTTTTATTTTTGCGAAGTAGGACGCGCAGTGCCATACAATATTACTTATAAATTTTGAGAACTAGACATTGGAACCAGATCGATGCTCTGCAGTCACGCTTGTTATTAAGATTAACCAGAACAATATAACTTACATGTATTTAAAACAACAAATCAACAATTAGGATCTTGGTAAGCAATCGGTGCCACCCATGGACATTTGCAACACCAGATGAGGTACACGTCCGTTACTAGCCCTTTGGGACTTGGACTTGAGAATTGGGGGAATTAGGGACGTAGGAGGGACTAGTCCTTCAGAAACCTCACTCCTGAGACCCCTTGCTCAATAATAAAACAAAATTCTCCAAGTACAAAGTCTAATAAATATCTTTTTGCACTTTCCAGCGAGAAGTCCAGTATTCGCAGCGATGTTTGAACACGAGATGGAAGAACGGAAACGGAATCGAGTTGACATCACAGACGTAGACCATGAGGTGTTACGAGAAATGTTACGCTTTATATACACCGGCCGCGCGCCCAACCTAGACAAGATGGCTGACGACCTCTTAGCCGCCGCTGATAAGGTAAACTGTTGCTATTGGCTGATTCATTATTGAGTAACCAATCATCGTGGATGTAATTGAAAACCGTTACGTTTATCTTTTGAACCGATATTGGTAACAGTATCAGTAGAAACATTTATGTATGGAACAAAACAAATATTAAACGTTGCCACATTAGAAAATCTCGACTCCATTAAACTGTTATTAAATCTATCTACTTAATAATATTACATCACTGAACAAAGTCAATGGAATTAAACGAGATAAATTATACACAGAAAAAAGCTTAAATGACCCTTTAATAGGTACTATCACGCTATAAACATTTATAAAAACGTTAATCTGAGATAATAAGATAACTTGAGCCACGTGCATAGAAATTATACCACAGATTAAAATCGTGTGACTGGTTAATTGACACGATCGCCAAGTGCAGGAGGAAATACAAGTATTTAATAGGACAGTCTTTACAACGTTAAATTTAAATTATCTGTGGCTTGTATGCAGTATGTGTGATTACTACTAGTTTTTTCTCAATTCTATATCAAAATTATACTTAGTTAGCCACTAAAATAGTGATATTTTCTTTGTATGGTTTTTGTAACTGTCATTATTTTTTATGTATATTAACAAATGTTTTTCTTTATTTCCAGTACGCACTAGAGCGATTAAAAGTGATGTGTGAAGAAGCGTTATGCCTAAGTCTATCGGTTGAGACGGCCGCAGACACACTAATACTAGCCGACCTGCATTCTGCTGACCAGCTCAAGGCGCAAACCATCGACTTTATTAACACGTTAGTATACACTTTGTTTTGAGTCGAAAAAGGATAAAGTTGACTTCCACGTAATCAAGACCTGGCAAAGCCTATGGGGTGTACTCAACTAGTTTCGAGCCTAAACGGAACCCTTATTTATGTGTGAGCTAGCTAGCTGCTAATTCACCATGATTATAGTGTTCACTGATGTTAATATTGTAATTTTTTGTTACGCAGGAGTCACGCGACAGACGTGATGGATACAGCTGGTTGGAAGAACATGATCTCGTCTCACCCGCACCTGATCGCGGAGGCCTTCCGCGCACTGGCCACGCAGCAACAACAGATCCCTCCCATCGGGCCGCCGCGCAAGCGTGTGAAGCAGGCCTAGTGCGGCACCGCGCCCCGGTCCGCGCCCCGGCCCGCGCCCGCGCCCCTGCGGCCGCGCCCCCGCCCCCGCTATACCAAAGACACGCCACCCGGCCCGCGCGCCGCGCCCCCGATGGCCCACGTGTGCGTATCATTACACCGGATCCCACGATCCGGACCTTCGTTTTACTATGATTGATCTCAAGACGATATTCGATCCTAATGTTTTTTTGTCTCTTGCGGTTAATTAGTGTACCGCTTTTAATAATTACTTTTAATGTGTATGTTACGGAGAAATGCTGGACGCTTTTTGCGCGTTGATGTAGTTTTGGATGTAGGCTTCGGGTTAATATTTTATGTATGTCGTTTTTGTGAACATTCTCTTGCAGCTATGTATGTAAATTATTACTATGTATTAAATATGGAACTCGTGTCTAAAACAACTATCCATGTCATATAAATTTATATCATTATATTATTATTATGATTGTAACTTTCATTGGCTAACAAATTGACATAATCGGTTATGAATTAATAGTAATGTACAGAAAATGTAATAATTGGAATAATCGAATGTAATGATTATTATGCCACAATGCAAATATAATTGAATTGGTAAATCTTGGTGTTTCGTGTTCCCATAGAAATTACGAGAACATTAATGTTAGACAATGTATAATGTAGGCCTTTTGAAAATATTTTGAAGTAGAGTGGTAATTGAATGCAATAAAGTTATGTATGTACCACAGGTTTGTACAAAACTGTCGTATGCAATGAAATGAGACCGGATCCCGGCTTGACACTGAGACCTGCCGCTGAGACAGTTTGTGCAAAGCTCTGGTACCTCGTAGACGCAGTAGGGGACTCGAGTGATTGTATAAGTCTATTGAAATTGTTGGTATTGTATATAGATGAGCTACGATCCCACCATAAAATATTTCTAAGTACTAACCCTTAAGTGGTATCACTGATGACACCATTAATTTTTTATTATAACTGTAGGATGTTATTCCAATGACATATTGTGATTTTTCTATCATATTTCCATAGGTTTAATAAATAAATACACGAACGCTTTTTGTTTGGTTTCATATGTAGATGATCACTGGAATAATTTAAATTTTAATGTATTATTATTGTTGTTGGTTTCGCTTCATCAATTGTACATTACTTCATGTCATGTGTGATGTCCAACTCGGCGTCTTGACTCGCCCCTCATTTTGCTCACTTCATTAACTTTTAAAATTAATATGATTCTAAATTACAAATTGATAAATGTTATTTATTAGTATTATTATCATTTTTTTCATTTTCTATGTCAACTTGACGAATTTTGTAATTATTATTATTATTCTTTTAACTTGTAAAATGATGGACCTACCCACTAAGTACCTATTGTAATATTTACTCAATAGAAGTATATAATATACCGCGGCCAATAAATAATAATATTTAATACCATTTTATACCCACTTCCCATTTTACTACAGCTGACAGCTGTTCCATGTAATTGAATATTACAAAATGTCAAAAATAACTGTGATTTCGAAATTGTCAGTAAGTTGAGCAAATAAATGAAATGATGATGACTTTAACTTTTTATTTCTATTCTATTGCGAAAACTGTTACCGTTGTATTTCAGAATACTGTAATTATGGAAACCCAGAAATGGGGATTTTTGCGTGACTAGTAGTTTGCATCATTTGATTATGAAAATGGAAACCAAAAATATATTGGCTTAACTACACTTGCCACTGGCTGACACCACTCCAGGAGATCTACTGAACTCGTTGGAGTCATTAGAGCAAAGAGTATTGACTGTAAGACACGGATAAAATCTTGATAAACGCTTGATGCAGTGTTCGACAGTAACCGCCATACTTATTCATGAAAGTGAGTAAAGGAAGGAGGAGTAGGTACAGCCCTGTAATTTCTGCCCTCTGTGGCTGCCTACATAAAGTTTGTTTTGGTATTGACTGAAGATAAATTTTTATTCAGTAACTGGTGAACACAATTCCAAGTTGTGTGTTGGTCGTTTAAAGTAGAAGAGGGGTTTGAAATTGATTAAATATACAATTGATAGTAGACAATTTTTTCCCCTCTTTGGCAACCGAATCTCTAATTAAAATGTTGTCGATTTTAATAGAAATGTCTCTACTATCGATTGTTACAATATGTCAGTGTCACTTTCATAGCTTGCTGTCAATGTCAAATCATCGAATTGTCAATAAAAGTCATCAGCCTCTGATACTACGATGTTATTTTTATTTACGTTTACGTAATTTTGATGAGTGTTTTAATATCTATTCGTAGAAAATAGCTAAAAAGATGTATACTACCTGCGGCACCAGCAAATTACTTGTAAACGTGAAAACTATAGTTATGCGGACAGCACAGTTCTCTTCAAGACCTGCAGCTTCAGAAGTCCTAACTGCTTATTTAATTCAATGTAATGAACCGCCTTGGACCTCCTATTTTGTTAAGGTAATATCAACCAGTCAGTATACAGAATTTATGATCATGTCTTATACACATCAAAAATTTCGTAGACATCGTCTCGGTCAGTGAGTATCCTAAGAGCCTCGATATTAAGTCAGTTCTTTTCCTAAACATGAATTATATTATTTAATAATACGAAAAACATTGAACAAATGAACAATAAATTCACTATATGGACCTGTCTACAAAAATTGTTTAGAATAGAATCTGTCTTATAGGTACAAAACACTTATATGTTTGCATCTGAAGGAGTTAACTCTTAGCTGATATAGATATATTTCATTTTTTTTTTAATTAAACATGTAGCATAACTATACTCCCGGGTAATTTCTTTCAGTACAGTAGTGTGAAGAATGATCAATTTGGAATGTCAAACTTTAATTGGAAAGCTGGGAGTTCAAACTATCAAATATTAAGGACTGGCTGTTTCCCTTACATCAAATATCACTGCTCTAAGAAAAAAGCAGAAGATTTAGAAGTATCAGACAAATTCATGAGAGCTATCAAAGTTATTAACTTTGGTAAGTATTGTCCCATAATGCTTTCAAATCTTACTAATAGATATTTTAAATGCGGATGTTTTTGTGTTTGTATGTTACTCAATCATGTCAAAATGCCTCAAGGGATCGGGCCACTTTTAATCCCACAGGAACGCGGGCAAAGTGCACTCTGGAGCTAGTTTAGTATATATAGTTTTTGTGTCATCTCCACAAACATCAGCTGGAAGAGGTCCATTGCTGAACAAATACCTACCTCTTACTTAACTCTGCATTTAAACTTGTTCTTTTGGCTGTATGATTTCATTACAGGGTAACATTTACCTGTTTCAAAGTAATAATTGAACTATTCCTAGATTCTTAAAAAAATCTGCATTCTAAGTACTAAATTTACTTCCAAATCTTTAAAGTTTTTAGCAAGCCTAAACTAAGAAAATGTGAACTGGAGGTATACCTACAGTATAAATATGAAATATTAAATTAGTAAGAAAAATATTATTAACTATCATATGAAGCTGAAGAGTTTGTTTGCTTGAACACTCTAATCTCAAGAAGTACTGGTTCGATTTGAAAAATTCTTGTTGTGTTATATAGTCCATTTATAGATAAAGGCATAAGCTAGAGCAGAGTGGGTGAAACCACTGGAGTCGCTAGTCAATAATAAAACCTTTATACTTACTTACAGGAATACCCTGTCTGCTCTATGGCCTGGCAGCAACTCAACTAATTAGACATAAGGAAATAGTGCATACTTCTAAGGGACCTGTCACAATATACTTCCTAATACCAGAAGATAAAGGATCAAGCTACTGACTTGTATTACCATAATTTATTAAATCTACTATATTATATTTGACTTAAATGTGAAATGCTTGTTAAGTTTTATTTTGGAGTAGAAAACAAGCCAATTTGTGAAAAACCCAAATGATTTTCATTTCAACTCCGTAATAGACATTTTCAAAAATTTGTGTTACATAATGTTTACATAAAACTATTTTCATAGAAACTGAACTGAATAAATAAAGTAGGAGGAATATAATATGGGCAATTGTTTACAAATCGCGTTAAAGCGAATTATTGCTTGCATTTTTAAAACAGGAGGGTTTCTTGCTTACAAATAAAAAAAAAATTATATTGCGTTATAAGTCTCATGTATTCGGGGTTTGTGCCTATTGCCGTATATTGGGCAACAACTCTAGATTCCGTGCTACTTATGCGAATTTTTCGAAAATCCTAAAACTATTTACTATACTACTCTTTTAGTGTGTTGCATTTGCATATGAAAATTTAAAGTCTAGCAAAGGTCAATATTTCAACTCAATTGGGTCGTTTAATTAGCGACCATGGCCCTGCAAGGTATACAGGGCCAAATTCATCGGATGGGCCCCAGTTCCCAATAAAAAACAGAGTGCAGATTAAAACCTCTGAACGGGTTCCCTTCCAGCTGGGAGCCCGTGGCATTTGGCGACTTGCCACCCTGTAGTTACGCCACGGCCTCTAATTAAAAACTAACCATCGAATCTGACATCCCTTAGTACGCAATTGTCACACAGTAGTTAGGTATCTAAGGAAATACTTCACTCAAAATCGCGCAGACGAATGGAATAATTTTTGGTATGTGACTTTGCTTTTTTGGTTGTAGGTACAAAGTTTATTATGGCAATTATCAATTACATAAATATGCAGTTGAAAGCGTAAGTAAATGGTCCGATAAATTTATCTGTGTGGTCGGTGTAAAAGAAGATAAACCAGAATAAAATTGTAAAATCATGTTTAATGTTACAGACATCAACAGCCTTAGATAATAATAATCACGAGGTTTAAAAGTGACTGTCTGTCTTTATTATTTTACAATGTTGTCAAATTTACCTAATACTTATACTTTACCTAAGCTAATCTCCTACAACATGGGACTTGATGGGAATCCGAAATTAACGGCGAAAAGAAACCAGGTGTTACAATATTTAAAGGGTGCAACGTGCACCTCTATGTACCCACTGTCTACTTAAAAAATAAAAAGTTTTATGTTTGCTAAATTTTTTAATATTACTATATTAAATGTCAATTAATTTAGTACTGGTGCGTAGACAACATACATACATAACATCACGCCTTTTATCCCCGAAGGGGTAAGCAGAGGTGTACATTATGCCACTGTACAATGTAACACCCACTTTTCACTATTTATGTTATGAGTCCCATGTAATAGGGGATGAGCCTATTGCCATATACCGGGCACAATTCCAGACTCCGTGCTACTACTGGGATTTTTTTTGAAAAACCCAGTAATACTTTGCCCGACCCGGGAATCGAACCCGAGACCCCTTGCCCGGCAGGCGCCACTCGGCCAATGAGGCAGTCAGTGGTCTGTAGACAACAATTATTTATAATAGTTTAATTCAGTATTTTATAATTTTTGATAAGTGAATCTCTGATGCTATTGAAATGTAGGTTCTCTTCTTTGTTATTTACTTGCTGTATTGACGTAGCATATTGAAGTAAGAATATGAAGAGCTCATGCACTGAAAACACAAAGAAAACAGTGGATAAGTACATCGATCTAATACCTACTATAAAATACTTATAACATAGTGGTGATGTTAATAGTATTTCTCTCTCATTTTGTCACCGAATCCAAGAAGTAGGTACCTAGGTGTAAAATACTTGAAACCTAATTGATAAGCAAATTTTTTACGTCGTCACAAATGAATGTGAATCGAATTTAATTCGAAAGTGTGAACGTTTTCGATTTTCGAAATCAATCGTTTCTCGAATGCGAGGTAAACTTTTGACAATCCGATGCAAGTTGTACCTACAATAACGCGATAAAAAAGTTAAAACTAAAACTTAATGTGAATGAGTAAAAAAATACAGAGGCTACCTATAGTTGTTACCTATTTTCACAACATAGAAATATATAGGTACCTACTTATTATATCTAAATAGTTAAATGTAGTCGTAAATACCTACATGAAAAAATATGTGTAATTTTTTCTTGTTATTGTATTTTATTTAGTGAATACTATTATTTTATATTTTATAGGAAATTAATTCCTAAAACATTACATAAAATAATTATTACACATTTTAAAGGTAAAATATGTACATTTTATGTAGTTTGTATTAGATGGGTACTCATTCATTTACCTAGTTTAAATGAGTACCTCTTTATATATGTATATATCTTTTTACAAGTGACACGGGGTATCCCCTACACCAATTTTGGATACAGAGAAATTATATTATTGCATTTAGTAAATAAAAACAAATAACCATAAAATATATAACTTTATTTATTTTAATATATTATCTTACTTACAATTATTATTAAAAGGGAAGTTTAACAAATACAAGGCAATTTACAACTAACTTGAACAAAACTTATCAACTACTCTATCTAATATATCTAATGCTCTTGAAGCTAGTCTTTGCCATTCCCTTTGATTTTCAATTTCCATTTCCCTAATCCTAATTTCCTCTAGTCTCACATCAGTATTTTCTTCTTGAGGACTTTCTTCAATATTTTTTTGAATTTTTAATTCTTTTGGAGTTTCGTTTATAATGATAAATGGTCTTGTTGTAGGTTCTATAGGCACTTGCTGAACTTGCTGAACTTGCGGCACTGGCCTAATTATTTTTCGATGTGCGATGATCCAACTATTTGCACCAATTAGTTTTAATACCCTTTTCTCTAAATTTGTCAATTTTGCATAGACTACTGGACCAGCATTAGTCCCAGTAGCTGCTCTATGTAGGCGAGCAGCCTTCTTTTTAGTATTGTTTTTGAAGTCACTCCATACCTTAAACAATCAAAATCAGCGTTTAATAATATTAGCTAGTATGACATAGTTTTAACCACAAGAGATAAATAAATATTACGACAAACCTTCTTCCATTTCTCAACAGTTTTAACATCACCGCTGTTGTCACTGTTTAATATCTCAGTCAAACGCACCCAATTTTTCATATTGAGTATCCTACCACTTGCATCATGGGCTGGTTTGTTGAGGTCACCATGTCTAAAACGAATAGTTTTAAAAGTTATAAACAAACTTACTTTTGTTGATAACACACACACACCGGCCGAATTAAGTACCCATCTTAATGCAAATTCTTTATTGGTCTTCACAGAAACTTATATAAAAAAGCAAAACTCGATCTGATGCCGTATATTGGATTAAAATCGGTTGTAATTTAGGCCGCTAACCATTTGTGAATTGATTCTATGATCACATAAAAACCAAAATAACTTACTCTTCCATGAATGTCACCATTTTACTAAACTGAGACGTACTCGTTCTCATTTTCTACAAAACGAATATACTTTACTATCACGAAAAGTTAACCTCAAGCGTAACTTCAACTTCAGAATTACGTCAAATGTCAACGATCAAAATATAAACAATTAAGTATAAGCACCAACATTTTAAAAGGTATTTTCGTATAATATCCACACTACAATATCAGCCTTCTTTGAATTTAGTTGGATTATATCGTGACGCTAACGTGATACCAACTTAAGAAAAATTATAAACGCTGTACTCCACGAGTAAACGCATATCGAATCGACTAACGAGTGGTTGGAGTCGATCGACTGACGGTATTGACATTTATTCGATTGGTAATGATGTTTGCTCGAATTACGTAAATTGTAGAAGACATTCGATTTATCGTGTAGATAACAGATACCACAATACAAGGCACAAAAATAATTTGTCGTCATGTGTTGAATTCATTTACATATTTAGATAGGTTTAAAGATATGTGGTCTGAATCGATTTTAAAAATGTTTCACGATTATAGTCAATCTCTATAAGACTAAGGGAACGCTCCGTTCCGATTCATGCAGAAACTTCCACATTTTAATTATTACAATTTTTACGTTAAAGTAAAAAACGAATAATGTAAAATAATTGATAATTATAAAAATTTAGACGAATTTTATACTTTGTAACTTTGTACTTAGTTTAAAATATGCGGGTAATAAAAATTCTGATTAAACTGTCAAACACCAAGCGATCACCGGTGACCGCAACCTATTGTTCTATATAATTGTGTCTACAAAACCGGTACTCGACGAGTTAAACAGGTGGCATCATGTTGCGTCTAGCTGCAATGTCGTCACATACGTACAAAAATAAGTATAGTAAATAAAAAATGAAGGCCAAGGCTCAAGGCCTAGACCAAGAGGACCACCTAGGTACGGTCCTTGGTAAAAGGAGGGCGTTACTTACGCGAGTACGCCCAGCCGACCAGCAGGTGTACCCACGCGGGAGCAGTTAGTTAGGTAGAATTTTCAAAATACCTACCGAGGAGAAGGTCTCCAGCTGTATCTGTGGTAGCCCGGTGTACTTGATGGTGACAGGCTGCTGTGCTCGCAAGATGATGATGATGATATCGGTGCGAATCATCAGGCCGAGAGGCGTCTCGTGCCAGCCACACGTCCAACCAGCGTCGCCAACTTCAAACGCCTTGAACAGGGATTTTATAGCATCAAAGTTAAAATGGCTATTTAAGTACTGGACTAGTCGGGTGGTAAAGTATCGTACCTATAAAATGAAGATCTTTGGAGAAAAACGAGTGAAAATCTCGGATTTAGTTTAGTTTATGGATTTACTGCAGGATCTATCTGAGTTGTCCATGTAGTTGTGTAAGCCTTTGGAAACATCAAATAACTACATGATGTTATTATCATATTTCGCAAAAATTAAAGAGGTAGGTTATTCGAGATACCTACGCACAAAACAATAGATACTATATTTACTTTCTCAACTGATAACGTGAAAGGAAAGAAAGGGAAGTCGTGGCTTACGGAGGTTGTGACCAATGTCGTGACTCGGTTTAAATGTTTAGAAACTAAACCACGTTTAGACACCAGCTAGATTTTTATCATAATGTTGTTTCCTAGTTATGTAAGTAAAGTCTACGCCGAAACGTTTTTATCCAAGTACTCATTGCTCATTCGTATTTATGTTTAGTACCTACCTGTCCATAGGTATTTTTACTAAATCCGGATTTATATGAGGATTTTATTGCGATTGGACTTTTTCTAAAATATTACCTGTGAAGTAGATAAAAAACCGACTTCGCTTAGCTATCAGTTATTAATAATTAATAATATAAATATATATGAATTTCCGTGCGTTAGTCTCGCTAAAACTCGAGAATGGTTGAACCGATTTGGCCTTGAAATGTTTGTGGAAGTCCAGAGAAAGTTTAAAAGATGAGAGAGAACCTTATTTCGTATCATAGTCCCCAGGTGGCATGGTATCCACAGCTGCAAACACGCACAAATGCTTAGCAGGGAAAATAATATGTCCACGCTGCCATGATCAAGTTTCTGAAAGCAAAATAAACAGAAAAAAGATTAATAAAATATAACTTTGATCAAAATATTTAAGTCCCTATCATCAATACATAGTATAAAACAAAGTCGCTTTCGCTGTATGTCCGTATGTATGCTTAGATCTTTAAAACTACGCAACGGATTTTGATGCGGTTTTTTTTAATAGATAGAGTGATTCTTAAGGAAGGTTTGTATGTATAATACATGCATATTACCCGTGCGAAGCCGGGGCGGGTCGCTAGTGGTTAATATTTAGAGGAGGCTATTTTCAGCAATGGATATCTTAAGGCTGGTATGATAATGATGACGACGAAGAGGGTTACTACAACGAGGATGTTTTCAGGCGAATTTTAATCAGTAAGAGTCTGATACTCCCTACGCCTTATCTAGCGCAGGAGGAGCCACAGAAAGATTTTTACACATAAAAAAATGGTTAGAAGATAAGCAAGCATGTCTACATTTTTTGTACCTTACCTCTGCAATCTGATACGCAATGAGGCAGATGGCGATGGAAGTAAACGACACTTGGTACACCAGCGGAGGTCCATATATCGATGATACCGTTTTCACAGCCCTGAAACCAATCTTATTTCATCGTATGTTCAATCTGTCCCATTTTCACCAATAATTTGAAAATAATATGCCATTTTTGGATTACGGGATATTTATTGTATTTATCTACCCTAATGGGAGGAAGGTGTAACGATAATTGGGTAGTTCCCAGGGTAAGAAAATTAAAAATCTAATTAGTCCGTCAGTTAGATAATGAACTTTAGTTAAATAATGACTGTTTCGTTGGCCGAGTGGTCGCAAGTGCGACTGCCGGGCAAGGGGTCTCGAGTTCGATTCCCGGGTCGGGCAAAGTATTACTGGGTTTTAAAAAAAATCTCAGTAGTAGCACGGAGCCTGGAATTGTGCCCGGTTTATGGCAATAGACTCACCCCCTATTACATGGGACTCATAACATAAATAGTGAAAACTGGGGGTTACATTGTACCATAGCATAATGTGCACCTCTGCCTATCCCCTTCGGGGATAAAAGGCGTGATGTTATATGGTACATTAGATAATGAAAAATGTTTCACACGTATTTTTTTACTTTCTCGTATAAAGTTGCCTACAATAATTAGATAAAATGGAGTTAAGTTTAGGAGTGGGAGCTCGTTACGTCACAACGTGCTACATTTTGTAGCAAATCAATGTATCGTCGAAAGCATTTAATTTTGTGAGAAAAGAAAAAATTCGTGTCTAATGTTTTAAAGTAATCTACCAGACGGACATTAAAATAAAATTTAGGAAACTAGCCTATTATAGTACCTATGCATAATTAGGCACATGCGTTTTTATAATATTTGATTTATTGTGTTAAAGAGCACAGAGTTCAATCAGGGCCATCTTAGACGTGTTGTGTGCCCAAGGGCCGCTGGGGCCCTTGGAGTAATAATTCCGGGCCCTTGTGGAATGTTTATTTTTTTTTAACGTTGCACCACAATCAATTTTTTTTTTCTGTTTCGTGGGTGCGTTTACAAACATATAGTACAAGTTTATATACACTTGACACCCAGATCCAAAACTATAATTTGTGGATCACACAAAGATTTGCTCCGCTACAAGTACGGGGCATCCGAGTGCCGCGCACGAACCGGTGAGCGGCTATGTGACAGTCGTAAAAGTGTCGGTCTTTCAGGGCCCCCTGAGGATGGGCCCTGAGTTATGACGTTACTGGGTTCAATACGTTTTTGGAGCTATTAGTGACATATCGGGCTAAAAGTGGGCTTAACAACATCATAGATAGTTTATTTGGGGGAATAACAGTCATTATGGTACGTTATTATCGCGATTAATGCGATACGCCTGAATGGGAATGCTACTTACTGATAATCCTGAATACAGGTACACGTTTACCAAACCGTGATCATTCTGGTTCTTTCCTTAATTAAGACGTAATTAGTAGGTACCTATTATTAGCAATCAACTGATTTGAGAATTAATTTAGTAGTCACCTTGAAGTTAAAGAAAGTGGTACCAACCTAACGAAATAATATAAAGTTATTTGACATTCCCATAAACTAAGCACCCTCTTGCACTTTTTCAAAATAATTATGATTACAATTTAAGACGCCCGATTCTCATGCATGGGTTCGGAACCGACCAACGGCATGACTTTTTCCGAGTTATATGTACTTTTTAAGATTATTTAGACACCACTGACAAACGATAAAGAAAATTATCGTGAGGAAGCCTGAGCTTATAATTTCTAATTATATGTTTGAAATCGCCAACCTGCATTGAGCAAGCGTGGTGATTATTGCTCAAACCTTCACCGTCTTCGCAGCAGTTCTTAGTCAGTAGTTGCCACTTATAGGCTGTTGATGTGATGCACGTTTCACCAAAATGTTTAGAGTATTCCCGTTTGAGTTAAGCACCTTTTTTTAGCTGAGACATCATCGTCAATCATATCATGGACTCAGTTTGTATGGCCTTCCCGGACATTGGACGGTCAGTTTATACTGGTTGTTCATAGCTTGATATGCAGTTCTGTTTAGAAACCTTCTACCATAAATGCCATAAGTTATCAGGTATTTAAGATCTGAAAGTTTGCTTGGCTTGCGTATAATGGCTAGTAGGTGTAGGTCGTAGGTACATTAAGGTACTACTGCACCTACCTTTACTTATAGCTATTTCAAAGTCAGCGAGTTCGAAAGTGCCTTTCGGTTACTTTATTATTTAAGAACTTCAGGAACCAGTTAGAATGTGAAATTGAATCAATATGATAATTAAGTAGAGAATTTATTTTACATACTGTTAGACGACGAAAATCAACTAAATGAACGTCACTAGTTTAATCTATGTTATCGACAGCACTAGCTGTCATAATTATTGACGATGTCATCTGTCAAATGGGACAGATTAGAAAAGTTTCCCGCGCAAAGTGGAGTGACGCGCGAATCTGGTGGGAAGTTTGAAGAGCATTGCGCTGTGTTCTTAAAAGAATCCGTTTATAATAAACTTTTCGATATTTAAGTATTGAGTTTACTTAAAAATACCTACACACAATAAACATAACATCACACAATTTTATCTCTTTTGGTGTGAGTATAAGTGCTCCATCGATGACCGTTTTTTATGACTTTTTTATCTTATGAGGTGCTGAGCTTAATGCCATACCCAAGGCATACTTCAGACTCAATACCAAAATACCAAAATTAGGTCCTACTTTGATTCGAGACACTCCTTGCTTGACATTCACACTGGCGATCACTTAACTAACAATTTTTTTTAAGGAGAAAAGTCATCAAATTACTGCTCCCGCCTGAGTGAGGCGGGAGAGTGTGTCAGACTCTTACTGACTAAAAACCACCCCGTTCCTTCTCCTGCACGTCGAGCCGGAGCCCCGCTTACCCGTTAGGTTCTTGGCGACACTTAACCAACAATACAGTTTAAATTAATGAATAGATACAATGTTTGTATTATGTTTTGGTCAAGCCACATATATTTTGCCGATTAAGTTTCGAGAGACTACGAGAACATTTTAATCTATTGTCTTTAATTAATGCACGTAACTTACACTTGGGTAATTACCTACTTAATTGTGTCGGAACCATGTTTCGGCACGAATCGGTCGGCTTGACCGGAGTGACACCGCGACCTCACAGAAAACCGGAGTGTGGCGGCGGCGTTTTATCGTGTACCTATGTAAGGTTACCAGAAGCTTAATTTCTCTGGAATTACGAATCAAACCCAAAACATCTTGCTCGGCAGTTACACTCGACCAACAAGGCAGTCAATTTTCAATGCACAAGATGCAATAGTCAAAATGTTTTACCTACGTTACGTACCGAAACACAGACAGATGCCACTTCACGATCTTTTCGATTCTCGCGTTCAATATCCGCTGCGTTTCCATTCTGCGACTGTCTTGTCGGGGTAGCAATGCCACGGATTCTTCAAGCCCATCAAATATCACACTGAAGTCTATTATTATCATGTCCATAATCATGTAATAATGCAGCAGGATGTGGAACAGTGTGTATACGTAAACTGTGAAAATAAAATAATGCGGTCATACAATATTTAGGTAATAGGTTTTGTACTCAAAAACAGGTTATATTCTTGGAATTGGTGGCAGTTAGGTAGGTGTCTAAACGATTGAGCGCTTAGAAATTATTTTCTTAATGATAAGTTCTAATAGTAATAAACGGTTCATTTTGAATTATAAAGCTCCTAGATATTCGTTCTCCAGGCACAGGGCTTTGAAACCACTCAACGAAAAGACAGTGAAACATTTTTTTATTAAAATTAATATGAAACAAGTCTGTTTGCACCGAGTGTTTATCGACTTTTTCAAATTCAATTTTTTATTGCATCGTATCATGTGTACAATAGGTGTTACATTATTGGGTAGAGACAATTTCAACATGAAACTCAGGGGAAATGACCCATTTTATACGTATGTAGGTCCTTCAACATGGGACCCAAGTCCTAATTATGTTATATCAATATTTAACTGTTTTAATACCAATCAGGATTATGCCACTGTCCACGGTGTGCAAAAGTAATTTTGTAACAGTGCCGTGTGCAGTTGCTGAATCAAATTAATCAATTTTACATTATTTCTCTAATTGTATCCCCTTTTCCTAAAATATTTTGGCTAGCCTGATTTGAGCCAGCTATAGACATTCGGTGATTGTAGACAAATGGCACAAACATAATCAATTCATGGAATGAATTCTGTGACAGCTTACGTAATGTTAAGCCCAAAGGCACGTCTTAAGTGCGTCGCCGGCTTTTGGGGTAGTTAAGACTGCGGTTCCACTGACGCGGAGCTGGACGGAGAGGAACGGTGAAGAGCGGTGAAAAGCGGTCAGTGTTTTCATTGCAGCTGAGCGGATTGAAGTAGAGCGGAGCGGACCCTACTTTTGGAATCGCGCATTTTTGTTCCTAGTTACACTCAATATTTCAGAAAGACCATACGTCATGTTGTCGTTTAAAAAGAAAACAAGCAATCTTTTTATATCCTTCTCTATTTGGTATAATTTGGTTGGTTTAAGCCATTTGTCTCGTGACATTTAATCGCATGTTGAACCACATATAATTTCAAATTACGATGTCATCATCTATCTTCGAAAACGTAATTTTAAATTCTTTACATTTTTTTTTAAAGAACGAACAAAGTTTATGGGCCGCCTACTACTTATGGGCTGATTTTCAATCATCAGTTAATTCAGAATAAGATTGTCATTTCATAGTTTTTAGTATGGAAAAATGGTCATATATTCAAAAGTACTCCTCAGTTATAATTTATCTGCCGTTGGAAAAATCGACCGATAATCAATGAATGAACTAAATCCTTACTAATATTATAAATGGGAAAGTGAGTTTGTTTGTTTGTTTGTTTGTTCCACTTTCACGCCGTAACTACTAAACCGTTTGCTTTGAAATTTTGCAGACGTAAAGTTAGAAGTCTGGATTAAATAATAGGGTACTTTTTATCCCGGAAAAAATTACTAATATTATAAATGGGAAAGTGAGTTTGTTTGTTTGTTTGTTTGTTTGTTTGTTCCAATTTCACGCCGTAACTACTAAACCGATTGCTTTGAATTTTTGCAGACGTAAAGTGAGAAGTCTGGATTAAATAAGAGGGGACTTTTTATCCCGGAAAAAATGTATATTATCGAGGGAAAACGAAATTATTGGTATAAATGGCGCTGTGTGTATTGGTATATGTCACATAGGCTACTTTTTATCCTTTTGTGACGCGAGCGAAGCCGCGGGTAAAAGCTAGTAATGAATAAACTCACTATGTACTTACCACAAAAAGTTTGTACAAAACAAAAACACAGTGTTGACTGAATCAAAAGGAATAATTCATAGTTAGGTGTTCTATAAGGATCATCATGAGGAAGCCACATGGGGAATTGGAGCGGTCTGGTGGTGTTCTCGTTCAGGGTCGCGAACAGGCTTTGGTATATTAGTCCAACGAGAGGAAACACCACGTACAAACCGCCCACAAAACTGACGAATCCGAACCAGGCGTAACATAGCTGCCAAATCAATAGCTGGCCTTCCAAGAATGGTTTCCTGTAAAATTTTGTCACAATGTAAGACAATTTAACATTATTATCTCCAACGAGTGTCAACACACGTGCCAGTTTATTATCTAAGACAGTTTCTATTAATATTTTTGTTTGTCTCGACTTCTGTGAACCCTTTGAAGGTTTCCAGATTGGTGGTCCTTGTCAATGTTTTTGTTATCTCATACTAACGCTAAAAACTAATCAAACCTTGTTAATTTTCATAATAAAACACGCTATTATGTGTAATTAAGATAGTGACCAACGCAATTTGAACTCCGACTAGATATTGTTTAGGTACTATTATAATCGAACATAGCGTTGATCATTCAAATGTCAATAAAATTGGAGGGCTTTTACCGTTAATATGCGTATTTAACGTATTAAATAAGTAAACGTAAACAAGATAGTGTAGACTTATTGTATAAGTCAAAAAACCTATTCTCCGTTCAAAACCATAAAGGAGGGAAATTAGAGAAACATTTAAAACTTTTTTTACTATTTCTTAAAACACGTCATCACTTATCAGTTCTGGTCAATAAGCTTTTACACCTATTGACTCGAAACTATAGGGCTCTAACGGCAAAATTCGTGAAGCTTTTAGCTTAAAACTAGAGTCCTTGTTCACTGACCTGTACGTCGGTCCCAAACTACAAACATAGATAAATTCTTCGTTCATTTTGACGACAATATCGTAAATCTTGTTTGTGTGCACGAGAATGCTGACGTAGACGGTAGGAATACAGCCAAGTAGGAGCCAGTAGCAGAAACATTCAGTTGCGAACGAATAGTCCTTTAGAGACACACCTCGCCAAATGAACATCTCCTCGAAAGTCATTCCTATTATGGAAAGCTGTATACAAATGCTGGGCCATATTAATCTGCAGACAAAATAGTAAATCAGATAATCCTATTAGGTTCCGAATCCAATGAGAGGAAAAACTATGAGTAGACTGCAATGGTCATACTTTTATCCTGGTCGACACCATCTCAGCTGCTGAGACACTACGGACTTTCCTAATGCATAAAAATCGGCCAGTGGCAACGTCTTTATATTGGGCAAAAATCAAGTACGAAAAAAATCAAAATCAAGTCGTACCTACAACGTCAGTGGTCCTCATCTATATCAAGAAAAAAAAGGTATATTGTTGATAGGAATTATCACATCACAACATCACGCCTTTTATCCCCGAAGGGGTAGGCAGACATGCACGTTACGGCACTTAATGCCACTGTACAATGTAACACCCACTTTTCACTATTTATGTTATGACTATTGCCATATACCGGGCACATTTCCAGACTGACTGAGAACACAGTAATACTTTGCCCGACCCTGGAATCGAACCCGAGACCCGTCGCACTTGCGAACCACTCGGTGAGCGAGGTCATTAATAAACAATTATACGTCTACCGTCAGGTTTGAAAACTGAAGAAACTCCCAATTTTATTTTTCATTCCTTGAAAGTGCAAAAACAAATATACAAAAAGAATTTGCAGACAGACAGACTTATATTTAAAGGAGTGTACCGCTGAAAGGTCAACCACACGTTTTGATAACAATATTTTTATAACGTCAGTGATTAGAGGCCGCTCACGTGTCGACAGCTTCAGATAGTAGCGTTCCTATTGTTACAGCCAAAAATGACACGTGACACGCCATGAGGAGTACCTTGTACCTTGGAACATAAGGAAAACTAAATGCATCATCAATAAAGTCGGTCGACAAAAATATTGAATGCATTACCTACATATATGGCCTTTTTATCAAAATCTTTTGTAGGGGTATATTTACAGTATTATTTGTCACGTTTAGCTTTGTGGTGATGGGCCGTTAGAGTCGAATAAGTTACGACATATTTAACAGAGATCGGGCAACAGTGTTCTCTGCTAAACTGTAATCCACTTACTGAGCCTGGCGATTAAGGCAAACCCCTCTTTTATAGAGGAGACCCATAGCCTAGCTCTATAGACTCTTGCGGGTTATTATACAATACAAATACAAAAATTTTTTATTTCTGAACCAAATATTTTTTTAACAATAGATTGTGATTGGAGCCTCCTTTTAGGTAAATAATGCCTGTATTAGGAGACTCCGCTCTTCCATAACATAACAATATTTCAAAAGTTTTTGGTTTTTACAATTACCAGTTTATTGACTTATATAAATAGATTTATGTGTAAGGGGTGTATGTGAGTGTGGGGTGTATGTGTGTGTGAGGTGCGCGTATCTGTGTGTGTGGCGTGTGTGTCGTGGTGTATCTGCGAGGGTGTGTGAGGGATGGTTATTTTACGTGTTGCAGCAGGGCTTCCGTACTTTCGTATGTTAGATTTTTTATCCATTCGATTAGCAATTTCTTACATTCGTGTAGTTGTTTAGTGTATATGTATATTTCTTTGTTTACCTTATTATATATTTGTGCAGAGCGTTTATTGTATTGTATAGCAGCAAGTTTAGTTTTAGTTTGTGGAACTTGTGCAATCATATCTTTACGTCTCTTTGATAATATTTTACTGTCATAAAAAACAGTTTTGTGTTTTTTTAAAATCAGTTGTGTGATGTACAATTTCCTAACAGAGAGTAAACCACTTATCTGATAAATACTTTCAGTAGGGTGCCTCCTACTTTTAAAATACATAATTTTAATGAGTGCTCGTTGTCCTCGTTCCACCTCTATAAATTTGGTTTTTGCTGCACCGCCCCATATCGGTATACAGTATGTTATGATGGATTGTGCAAGGGCGATGTAAATTTCGTTTAAGAGATTTCTGTATTGGCCGGTTTTTTTATTTGTAATGGTTGGAACGACGTGTCTCAATGTTTTGAATATCCAACATAATTTCCTTATTCTATGAGTTACGTGTTCGATATGGAAATACCAAGACAACTGTTGATCAATTATGACACCTAAATATTTTGTCTGAGATACTTTACCAATTAGAGGACATGTACAATCATTATTAGCGGTTTTCTGCTTACATGAATGCACTTTAATACTGAAGTCTTCATTTGGTTGTGAACGCTTTGAAGCAGAGAAACAGATATAGTTAGTTTTAGTTGCGTTCAAAGTTAATAAATTATTATTTAGCCAGTTAGCGATCTTAGTCATACCCTTCTCAGCTTTAAGCTGAACTTCAGGCCAGTTATCTCCAGAAAATACAACAGCGGTATCATCAGCGTACGAAAAAATGCTAGCGTTATCGACTTTTAAGGTACAGAGGTCGTTAATATACATTAAAAAGAGTGTAGGGCCCAAAACGCTACCCTGAGGCACGCCAAATGAGACGTCTGCATTATCACTGAGATATGTACCTATCTTAACTCTCTGCCGTCTCTCTGATAGGTAATCTTTAAGGAGATTGAGTGGTACTCCTCTTATTCCGACTCTTTCTAGTTTGGACACAAGGGTTGGAACAGAGACGGTGTCGAAAGCTTTTTTTAAATCTAGGAATACCGAGAGGCATTTTTTTCCTACATCTAGATGCTCAGCAACCACTGAGCTGAGGGCAGAAACTGCGTCTTCAGTGGCTACTCCCTGTCTGAAACCAAATTGAGTGGGCGACAATATTCTGAATTTATTAAAATAGTTAACAAGTCTCACGTTTATTAACCTTTCCAAAACCTTAGATAAAGCCGGTAACACAGAGATAGGTCTGTAATTGTTTACATCGTCACTGTTTCCACCCTTGTGTACCGGAGTAATAATTGATTGTTTTAGTAAGGTCGGAAAAATACCATTTCTAAAACAAAGGTTAGCCAGATGGGCGATGATCGGTACGACTTCCTTGCTAACATACTTAAGAAATCTAGTCGAGATGTTGTCCCAGCCTGGAGAAGATGATGATGGCAAATTCAATAACAAAATTTCAATTTCTGGGGACCGATTGGGTGAACTGTAGATGTCATTACAGCTACTTAGTTTTTTCGGAATTACCGAGAACATTATCTAGTTGTTTGACTAGTTACTGCTTATCTTTTAACTACCTAATACTACTTTCTACTGGACTCTGTTAAAAACGTCCCTGACTCATTTTTGAAGAGTGCACACTGCACATTCATGTGCCCATTAAGAATGAACCGACAATTTTTATTTAGCGCAGCAGAATATTAAAGGAGATAAAAAATAGTATACTAGGTAGCACTGAAGTCAAATGTCATGTATTATTATCTAATGAGATCGTTCATAACAAATAAATTATGCTAATCGAGCAGGTTGGACAGTTCTCGAGACGTAAATATTTTGCAACTGACAGAGTTCGAAGAATGAAGAATGAAAGGGCTTTCTGATGCAATTTTATACTATATTTTCAGAATTAGGAAAATGGCGCCTAAAAACAAATGTTCCGATAAAAATTACCATGCGATATTAAATCCTTGCTGGTGATATAATTGCAAAAAAAAATACTTTCTGATGTGGTTTGTCGTAGTCTTTTATAAGCCAAAATCTACAATTTAGAGTAGACTCATTACAAAAGCACCAAGAAACCATTGTTTAGTTTTGTAAAAGTAAGGGACATGAATAAGACTGGTAATTTTCCAAAGCATTCATCAGTTACAGAATTGCAGTAGCACTTTAGTTGTACATGGTGACTTTGAAGTCCCAACATAGGATCACGAAAGCAATATACTTATACTCGTAGATGCCGCATAAGAAAGAGCACAAAAATATTCACAAAGTCATAAAATAAAAGATAAAGTTTCTGTGATGCTGTTAGGGTTAATTAATATTACCCTAATTACCTCTAGACCCTAACAGCAGTAGTCAGTAGATGTACCTAACATTTTTAAGAATAATAAGGGAATTGCTAATTGTAGCAATTCAAATATATATAAAAGTAGAATCAAAGCCATACCTGAATCGAGAGCCCCTATTTGTAAAGAACACTCCTTTAACAGCGAGAAAAATGCGCAATTGTGGGTGAAAATTGTACAAATCTATATCTGGTCTGTCGAAATCAAAGGATGCCTTCATAAGAAAATCTTTTATTATTTGAAGACGCATTTTGCAGCGTAAACACAGTTAGGCTTTTGACTGCTAAAATAAAACTATTGCAAACAAATCCTTCTCTAAGGCTGGTTACCAGTGACTGGGGTAGAAGCTACTGTGTTAAAGAATACCTGAATAGCTAAATCACTTATTTTCTAAGACGAATAAGACCTTATTTTATATAATGGTCTACAATTATGGAGTTGATAGGAATTGCAACTAATTTAAATGCAATTATCGAGCACTTAACTTATTACGGGAGTTATTACTCGCTGGGTAGTGTAAAATTACGAATATTTTTATGTTCTACCAGTAATCAGAATTACTTGATAATGATATAGGAGTAACGACGGAGAATTAATTTGAAAGAAATGTAGGAAATGATCTAATTGGATTAAATAATTAATTGAAACAGGGTGGTTATGCTTGAAACCTACTTTTGTTATATCTTTGATTTATTTTCATCTAATTTTTATCTAAAAGTCTCGTCAGATTAATGACCAGTATCATTTTAATTAGTTAGGTTGAGAGCAGAAGGTACAGTGTAGTACCTTTTTTAAGGGGGGGAAAATCATCGAATGACTTCTTCCGCCTGGGTGAGGTGGGAGGGAGTGTTAGACTCCTACTTACTAAAAACCACCCCGTTCCTTCTCCTGCACTTCAAGCCGGAGCCCCGGTAACCCGTTAGTTTCTCCGCGAATAGTGTAGTACCTACCGACGTAGTTAATAGATATATTGAAGTTTGGGCACCGGTCTAAACGACATGTCCATGCAGACGCTATTTCTCGTTAACCATACAATTAATTCGGAATTAGTGAAATTTGCCTGGCCCAATAAATAATCAAACGTCTTTGCTCAAAGCATCTCTTCAGTAGTTTGGGCTCCAAAAATTACGCATCACTCATTTGTTATCTCTACAAATAATTGCTCATCGTCAAATTAAATAATTAGTCATAATTTAGTTTTAATATATTTTACATGTGTAGGGCAGAGGTTGTCAAATGGCCTACTTTAGTCTCAGCTCAACCCAGATTCGGTGTCGAATAGCGTAGTAGCTGTGTACTTATGTTTATATTTTTGTACAACTTACAAATTATACAGTCACTGTTTAGCGTCATTGATAAAATAAGAACAATTATTCGTCCATTAACAGTTTGTCACTCAAAACCTCGATATAATCATTTGGAGCCTACTTTTAGATTATCACCCTATTTATGTATATTTATGATGAAATTTTTGATATTTGATGTACCTAGCTGAAAGTTCATCGTCCTCTATGGTATGGGGGCTTTCGCGTGGCAATCCTAAGGGTTTCATGTCACGGATGCCAGCGGTAAATGGGAATGTCGTATTAAACGAAAATGATACTATGCCTTCGCATAGGCAACAATCACTTATGACCTGGGCCTCAAGTCTGCTATTTTTATAATTGTTGTCATTCCATCACGATCGCATTTTAAAATTGCTAAAAGTTCCTAATCTGCTAAATTCGTAATTGTCGATCATTGATCGGTCAATGGTCTACATTGCCGTATTGCCATTATTTTAAAACTTTGTAGTAGAAATAATTTTCGAAAATATGTTATTTATATTTTATTTTACATAAAATATGTATCGGTGTTATGTGCAATCTGAATTATCTGTCCTTACGTACGAGATTACCATTTTATGTATTTACTTTCAATGGTGTGTCAGTGGTTGACCATTGGAAAGTCATAATGACGCCATTACATTATTATTAGTAGATTACCAAACTTGTCAATATCAACAATTTTGATTATCACTATTGTAATAGCAGACTTGAGGCCCTAGTCATCAGGTACTTATGTTGCAGCATGCCCTAGAGGGGTAGCTCAATTCAAGAAGTTTTATTTATAACTAACATGTAATTCCATAAATCCATAAATGAATCCAACTCTGGAAACTGTCTATAGTGGCCACAAAGTGCAACTGCAAGGAGTCTCGAATTAGACAAAGTATGATTAAGAGGTTTTATTGGACTTTTCAACAATGTGTCGAATTATACGTATGGTTTGTAATTTATCTTGGTGTATGTAAGATAATAATTTTACCTCCTATCTCTGCACGTTTCATGTTCAAGATAAATTGTGTCAGGTTTTCAAACTGTAAAATAAGTCTCAATTTTTTAAAATACTTTTTCTCATTTCGACCATCGTTTTGTAGAAATGAATGAGAGACATATTTTCCCTCATCTTTGCAGCTTTTTTTATGGGACAAGCCCGCCACAACCTCCCAAAACCGCAGCAACTTCTGTAAGCCTGGATCTACAGTAGATGCAACCATGAAACACTGGAACATTGAAGTCTTTACAGCCTTCTTACAAATATTCGATTCATCTCAGATTTTCTCGGTTGACCTTTTGATTGACCTTCTTTACCCGACTGATTAAAAAAAAGGATGCATGATTATCCGGTTTGGTGCAGTCATTCGAAAGGTATCCGAACGTATGTAAACCTGGAGATCTATTTTTGTTTATTTAGATGATCGATACTAAATTATTCTAGAATTGTACTAGATTAGCAGTGCAGTGCAAATATGAATTACGAATATTGTGCACGTATTTGTTACGTTTATACCGCAATAAGATAATTTGTTGATTGATATGTTTATTCATAAGATTCCTGATTGCGTTATTAAATAAGTGTTATCGTAATAATCAAAGACATCATTACCTACAAGTTGTTCCATATCGACCAGTTTGCTCTGACACCGAAGCGCGGCGCCAGTTGTTGAAGAAAAGCGTTAGGAACTGACCTGATTCAGTGCAGTTGAAATTGGTTCAATTTGGTGCCGTGTGCCAAGATGCGTTGGTCACCCTTTGTTTATCTCTGAGCGTATATAGTACCTCGGGATGTGGTTCTATTTGTGCAGTTAGCGCGTGGATCTGTCTGTCAACACAGTCGCTCTTAATTATATTAAGTGCTTCTGTTATTAATAAATAATTTATTTAAATATTTATTGAATATCTTTAACCGGTTCATAATGATTGTCCTAACAATTTTGGCCGCGTTATTTTTACCTTATTTAATTATTTATTTGTACAAAAATGCGTATAACAAGCCGAAGAATTTTCCACCAGGTGAGTGACTTTTCCTTTTTTATTATTTTGGGAAAAATAAGTGTTGTGTTTTGTTGACAGAGTTTATTTATAATTTTATTTAAAATTGAGTGAGCATATTTTTTAATTTTAAATCGTGCGTTATGCTGGTGATTATCAGTATAGTTCAAATAAATATTTTTATTATCAAATGTGTAAATGTATTAGATAAAGTTAGATATCGAAGAACAAATTAGAAGGTGAACGACCTCTAATTTTTACTTTGAATCAATACCTATTATAGGAAAATTTAGGAACCTATGCTTATGAATTTATACCACATACTACTAGTAAATATGCCTAATTACCTCTACAAAAACTTATTACTAATTGTTTTAAAGAAAACCATATAAACATATTTTATAGATGAATAATAAAATACTTATTAGAAAACCATCCTCCCTTTTGTCCGCATAATTTTTCATTTGCGATCAATACAAGTTTTTTTATATCCGTAGGGAAATCGACATCTAAGTAGGTACTTCAACTTACTTCTTACTGATTTCTTTAAATCACCTTCAGAACAGGTTGAAAGACAAGTTCAATATAAGGTTCCTAAGTCGTAAAACCTTATTAGAAAATATTTCTATAAATACTCAGATATAAGCGAAGATCTTGGATCACAGAAATGAGTGGGTAGGTGCACAATAACTGTTATAGTTGTTTTTCACGCTACCCTATTACTATTTTTATATCATGTTTATCCCGACACTGGCAGTTTAGTCGACAACATGTACTGGAGACTCGGGTGCCAAAGAAAAAAAAATTATATAAGAAGAAATAATAAATTCTTAAAACTTTCGTAAGACATACCAAATTCATTATTATGTTTTCGGCTTACTCACGTAACTGTTCGACGAGGAACTCGACTAGTTTCAAGCCATGCTAAAGATTCATATTCATGAGCAGCATTCCGCGACCCGTGACGCGGCGACTGTTGCGCTGCTACAGTGTAGCCTATGTGTGATGAACATGAGCCTCTAGCATGACTTGAAACTAATCGAGTTCCTCGTCAAACAGTTACGTGATTAAGCCATAAACATAATATTTAATTTAGGTATTCGATTATTTAGTTATTTAAACTGTCAAACACCAAGCGGTCACCAGTGACCGCAACCTATTGTTCTATAATTGTGTCTATAATGACGGTACTCGACGAGTTAAATCGTTTTATTATTGAATTTGAAATAATGTCTAGATATATTTCAGGTACTTTTTGTTTTTTTTTAATTCCGTGGTAATCTAGTTTTCAAATAAATGTTATTCTTTCTTCAATATATTTTTTTTTATTTTACCAAAAATGCGATTTTAGTAGGTATTTGGTAATTTCTAAATTTCAATGAACTAAATTACCTACTTCATTTAAGAAAATTCCTGCCGATTAAGTCATACTTTAATAAAATTACATTAAGTGATGGTTGACCGCATCATGTTTTTATAAATTGAGTAAGTGAGACGTGCGTCCAACACGTGAATTTGACAACTAACAAAAAATATTGACCAAGGAATACATTCGCATAACCGCTAAATTCACATGACTAAAATTATTTGCAGACATGATAATCCGTCTATTGCTACGCAAACTATAATCTGAACTTAGAGCCATTTTTATGAATACAGGCTCCCAAATAAAAAACAGTCTGCCGATATCTCAGTAAAAAGTCATATTTGTGCATGATACGTTTTTCCAGCACGAGATTTTTGTAATCTTTTCATTCTTCATGTTTATCAGAACTTGAAGTAACGTTACTGACACCATTCGTTAGGTTAAACTTAAAAAAAAAATCGTAAAAAATAAGAATTTTATCTTCGTACAAATTAGTTTTATTACGTTTATCAGACCTCGACAAAAGAGATTAGTTTTAATTTACTTATTATCAGTAAAATTAGGTTACAATTAAACCAAAACATTATGGTACGCAACTATTGTACTTAGTTACTGTTGTTTACGATTATTGATACACTATAGCTTCGGCCAGCGGCTTCATCCACGTCACTGTGGGATATAAAAGTGGTCGTCTGTAATTTCAATTTGATCTCTTTTGACGCAGCCATTTTGACGTGAAACAAACACATACACATACATACAAACTTTCGCATTTATAACTAATTATAAGTTCACTAATACCTAAGTATTAGTATTTAAGATATTTTTTATAGTCACGTTCACGTTTGGTTTTTTTGTTGGAAAATGGGGGCGTGGTACACGTACGGTGTGTCCTAAATATGATACAGGTTATTTCTATAAAAAATTAAGAAAAATATTTATCATTATAACGTAATTCAAAGCACCTATTCCAATAGTGAAAATGTAAAATATTAGACGCTTAAATGTGTATTCCTCTTCGGAGTTGTGGTTTGTGATGAACGTTGAATAGAAAATAGGTATCATATGACATTACACCAACAAAATCGTACAAGCAAACACTAACTTTCCCTACTTAACAATAATAATTATATATCACCAAATTTTTTAATCATTCTTATGCTGCTTATGCACGGTTTTTCCTAGTACCACGTGATTTTTTCATATGTAGTTTTCACACGACAATAAAATAATAATAAATAATAACTGCATTCGTTTCACATTCACGTTTATTTGTGCGACTGACACGGCTAGGTTTTGTCTTGAGTAGAATCTTCTAAGGCTTAGAAAAGTCCAAGGACGTAAAGTTCTTTTTGATAAGCTGAACGACTTTAAATTTTTCATTTTTACCTATGTGGATAGTAAATTTCGAACATCGTATATCTACACTTACAGGTGAATATTACAGTGTATGACTCAATAAATAAAAATCTTGATATAGATAAATACATCATGTAACTTGATTAAGTACCATCCCGTGTCTATAAACGTGTTTTACCTAAATATGTTTACGAGTGTCAAAAATTAATCAATCGTGATAATCTACCAATGCAATTGGTTTTTCAATGTAAAAAATATTATCTTCTATAATCACGCTGCCGTACTCAGAGAAAACTATTGCTAGGGACCTAAACATTACATAAAATAAAATAATTTGTCAGTACGAGTATACGTACGAGTAAGTATGTGTTACGTTGGTGGATTAATAATTACGACTCGAATTGATTTTACTGGACTTTACCATACCTACTATGATTGGATACTTGCTAATTGAGTCAAATTCAATACTTTTTTCTGTCTAACTGTCAAAAACACCAGTTTTCTATGAATTTCGTACGAGATTGTCTATTGTGATGTCACGTTTTTTTGCGTCAAACAACATAATTGGTGCATAGAAGTTTGTTAGAAAAATACGTACTAAAATTAGGGCAGTCATAAAATCAATTCATGAAAGTGTGATTATTTTTTAATACTTTATTGTATCGAATAGTCGAAATAATTTATTTTTAATTAGAAAGTACCGAATTACATACCCTCTTGTCTGTTGTCTGAAGATCTACGCGCACAATTTTCAATTGTGTCTCATATATCGATAGGCAAGAGGTTAATATGAGGCGGACAGGACGAGTTCACACACAAAACTATGACAGATAGACAATGCGCTCCGTGACAGCTGTTGGCCTTATATATTCTTTCTATATAAAAAAATGAAACCAGTTTCCCGTTGTCACGCCTGACTTGAGAACGGCTAGACCGATTTGACCGATTTTGTTGTGTTTGCTATTGCCTGGAGAAGATTCTTATGGCAGAAAAAAATTCTGAAAATCCTACGGGAACGAGAGAAAACGGGATTGCGCTTACGAAGTCGCGGGCAGAAGCTAGTAGTCCAATATAGTGTTGAGGCCATCACTTACTAGAGGTATATTAGTGATGTTTATACATGTAACAGCATTGTACTACATGTAGGTACACAATGTTATCGTTGCCAAGCAATAAATAAAAAAATATTATAATGGGTATAGATAATCATGTTTATCATAATGGAATGACTGGATTTTATTCACAAATCTTCTGTCGAAAGAGATTGATTCCCAGGTTAGAAAAATAGATACGCTATGTATTATGAATATCGATAGACCCCATAAAGTCTGGAATCTTGTTAGGAACATGGCAAAAGTCATTGGCATGCGAGACGTACTGTTGTATGTACATATTATTATCTTCTGTAATCATTAGTCGGTTCAACCAAATGGCTACTGCCTCTGTAGTTTTAAGTAAAACTCAATACTTAAATATCGAAAAGTTTATTATAAACGGATTCTTTTATGAACACAGCGCAATGCTCTTCAAACTTCCCACCAGATTCGCGAGTCACTCCACTTTGCGCGGGAAACTTTTCTAATCTGTCCCATTTGACAGATGACATCGTCAATATGACAGCTAGTGCTGTCGATAACATAGATTAAACTAGTGACGTTCATTTAGTTGATTTTCGTCGTCTAACAGTAGGTACTGAATCAATTTTTATTTTCTTACCTGCATAACATAATATATACATTATACATAACATCACGCCTTTCTTCCCCGAAGGGGTAGGCATTAGCGCACATTATGGCATTTATAATACCACTGTACCATGTAACACCCACTTTTCAAGATTTTATGTTATGGGTCCCATGAAATAGGGGGTGAGCCTATAGCCATATTTACGGGCACAATTCCAGACTCCGTGCTACCACTGAGAATTTGTTAAAAACCCAGTAATGCTTGGCCCGACCAGGGAACCTAGTAATGCTTTGCTCGACCCGGGAATCGAACCCGAGCTTGCGACCACTCGGCCAACGAGGCAGTCTTACCTGCATACAAAATACCAGCTGTGCTGACTGTACCTAGACATGAACATTAATAACTGTACCACTGCTTAATAATCACCGATTAAAAATTCTCGTAACATATATTTTTCTTTCTACCAGGCCCACCGAGTCTGCCAGTATACGGTGCCTTCTGGATAGTTCTGGCCCATGGGTTCACTGACCTCGCAACAGCTTTTAAGAAGCTGGGAGAGAAATACAAAACGAAGATCATAGGTCTCTATATGGGACCTGTTCCAACCATAGTGCTGAATGACCCTGAGCTGATCAAGGAAATGCTAAACCGGGAGGAGTTCGACGGACGGATGGACATCATAATATTCAGATTGCGGTCATTTTGGAAGAAACTGGGTGAGTTTTAATATGTACAAGTACAGTTTGGCCTCGGTGACCTAGGTATTATCTTTTGTTCCAGTAGAAACTCCACTTTCTAGAAACGTCGATGCCGTATCTCTGGAAATTGTAACTAAGTGCTCCCCATCTCTCGGTTAGGAAACTTCATGTTTCATTAACTCAATAATTAATTACATATACATAACTACTTCCGCGCGATTTCACACGCTCTACTCAGCTCCTATTTGTCGTATCGTGATGTTTTACTTACAACACAAAAAGAATTATTCAAATCAGACTTGTAGTTTATTAGCGCGTTCAAACAAAAAAAAACTCTACTGCTTTATATAATAGTATATATAATAGTATAAGATAAAATAAGATTATTAGAGTAATGTATGGTCAGTAGACATGCCCTGAGTTTCCACAAAAAATTCCCAAAAAAGCAGTTCATCTGGTCTGGAAATAACTAGTTTAAACTGTCAAACACCAAGCGGTCACCGGTGACCGCAACCTATTGTTCTATAATTGTGTCTACAAAACCGGTACTCGACGAGTTAAATGCAGTTAATTTTGCTTACGAAACAAATCACTCTATGTTTACATGTAAGTTTACGGTCAATTTAAATCAAAGTTTATGTTTAATATAACCTTAATGTAATTACTACAATTTATAGTAACTAAAACCAATAATGTTTATCTCATTCTCATTTAGTTTCATATGTTATTTGGAAGTTTCCACAGTCAACAATGTGTTTTTATTTTCACTGTTATATCTCTGTTTAAAATTACGATATTTTAAAAATAACTTGTTTTCGGCATTATCGAATGACACAGACCAAACATAAGTAAATAGTTATGACAATTTTCAAGGACGTCGCCATAAAAGGCGGAAAGAGTCTCCTGAAACAACGACTGTGGGTCTGTGGAACTTGGCTACTACTTATAGACTTATACTACATATCTATTTATTTACACTAAAAATACATATACTTAATAGCAAAAAGTATATTATAAATTGGATAAAAACTCTCACAAATGAAGAGACCGAGGCACTTCTTCAACGGATTAAATAGTTAGACAAAACGCACACACATTCTCAGACACACACACACACACACACACAGAAAGGGAAGAAACTGAAATACGATTACGCAATCTTATTCATAATTATCCTGTTTCCATCCACGTCCGATATTTATTTATTTATTTATTTACACACATAACATACAAATATCCTTACAGGCTAGACCCAATGCGATATTGCAGCAAATATTAAAATAACAATAATAAACAAAATACAAACAAGAAATATCCATACACTCTATAGAAATATAATACGATAAAGAATATATAATAAGCTTTTACTACATATAGCAAATCCTATGCATGGCTGCTCGTGTAAATTCTCCTAAAGAGCAACAGAATATGTCTACGTCATTAGCAACGAGGTTCAGAGTGCGAAGCGCACATGTGAGCGGTGCCTCCCGCAGCAAGTTAGTTCGCGAACGTGGTTCTGCCAGTAACCGCGGCTGGCGACGACGACTCACGTATCCATCGGGCACGACCAGTTCAACCCTTTGCAATATATCCGGATTGTGTATCTTCCCCCTAATTATTTTAAAGATATAAGTCACCAATGCGAGTTGCCTCCTGACCTGTAGTTCATTATATCCAACCATACCCAAGACAAACAGAGTTGGATACATTAATGGGTAGAATGGATATACCCCGAACTCTCTCATATACTTATATCTCATGAATTTATTCTGTACTCGTTCAAGCATGAGACTGTACTTAGTTTCATGTGGAGCCCAGATCACTGCATTGCATTCAAGCTGGCTTCTTACTAAAGCATTATATAGTGTCGTTATAGCTCTCATATTTGTGAAGCCTCTAACCATTCTAAGTACAAATCCTAGATTTCGATATGCTTTCTTGCATACCTCGACTATATGATTACGAAACGTGAGCCCAGAGGTAAAACGAACTCCTAAGTCTTTGATCTCCATGACCCTATTCAGCGGTACCCCATCCACCGTATAAGTATGTGTGACGGGTGAGTGTGCGCGTGAGAAACTTATGGTCACACACTTAGACGTGTTAAAATGCAGGAGATTACATTGACTCCAAGCAACTACTCGGTCTATATCGCTTTGCAGCTTTTCACAGTCATTTACGTTTGTGATGGGGAGGTAAAGCTTGAGGTCGTCAGCAAACAGTAAGCACTTAGCATCCTGAACAACGTTCGGCAAGTCATTAACCATTAGTAGAAACTCTAGGGGCCCTAGATTTGTTCCTTGACTTACTCCCGACCTAGTGTAGTAAGTGTTCGATTGATGCCCTGCGTAGTCAACATACTGCTGCCTGCCACTCATATAACTCGCAATAAACTTAAGCAAGTGTGGAGTGAAACCGACCGCAGCTAATTTTTTAAGTAAGACGTCGTTATCAACCAAATCGAACGCTTTTTTAAAATCAAAATATGCAGCATCGATTTGCCCCCCACTGTCCACTGTTGGTACCACATCTGCCATGTAACAAAGCAGGTTGCTGGTTGTATTTCTAGTTGGCCGAAAACCATGCTGCGCATCTGTGAGTTGCACGCTAACTTGCCGATAAACATTCGCATAAATACTTGACTCCAACACTTTAGCCATAGTTGACAATATTGCAACCGGTCTGTATTCTTCAACTTTAGTTCCCGAACCTCCCTTCGGCACCGGTATGACTCGGGTAATCTTCCACATTTCTGGAAACTCTGATGTTTTGAGGCAAAGATTGTAGATATACAGCAGCGGTCTCGCTAATGCCATACGACAGTCTCTGAAAATGAACGGCGGAATACCATCAGGCCCTGACGATCTTTTCGGCTTAAGTTGCTGAAGAGCGCGAACCACTTCATCTAACCTCAACCTGTCAAGGTGAACTCGCCCTGCGCCGTTCTGACTGCCCGCTTCTCGTATCGCTGCATCCACATCCAACCTAGGTGTTTTTGGACTGTATACAGAATAAAAATATTCAGCAAATTCCTGGACCGCTTGCTCACCTGTCATGGCCTCTCCGTCCTTTAATATCTTATGACTACCGGCTTTACCTCTTTTAGAATTAACATAGCACCAAAAAGACTTAGGGTCTTCAGACAAATGAGTTTGCAAGCGTTGACGATATTGCTCCTGTGCTATAAAAATCTTATTTTTGACTTGGGTCCTACATTGGGCAAACGCTTCGTAATCACATCTTAGACCGCTAATTTTATACATCCTGTGAAGAGTAGCTTTGAGCTTTATGTCGCGAATTATTTCACCCGTATACCACTCGGGATAAATATATCTCGAGCGTACCCGGCTTCGCTTTTTTCTGGGAACACAGCTATCTATAGATGAATATATCGTCTCATAGAAGTACTTTAAACTCATATCCAAATTCAAGTATATATAAGATATATCACCAATATTATCACCATTAACCTATAAGTGTTACTTGCTGAACGGAGAATGTTTGAGCATTAATCATCTCGCTTGCTGAAGACGGGTTGGCATAGACTCTCTAAAAATTCGCCTATCGCATAATATGTCCCATTTGCTGAAAACCATACTTCCAGTAGCATTTAGATCTCAATACCTATAATCATTTCAAATACTCAATGATCTGTGTATTTGTGAACTTATGAACAACATTAGCAAAGACGTCAATATTTAATTAAAGTTATTAAAGAACGTACTTACATAATAAAGCGTGTGTTTATTTAAATGCAACATTTTCCTTTATCGTTGGAATTATCTAGACACCTAGGCGATTACGTCAATAGGTATGGTTAGGTATTGACAATATTAGCTTATTGTTATGTGTATTCTACTATAATATTTAACTAAGTTTCATGCAGTCGTTGAATGTCAGAAGGAGTGACTCCATCTGCGGTCATTTCAGATATTTTGGGCTTCTGCCTTAGTGAAATGAAACAATGAATTCATTTTACTAAATTGGCTATTTTAATACAGCACTTTGACATGACAACTAGCCCCCGGGCAAAGGGCAATGACTGAAGAACTAAGTCATTGTAACGTTTAAATCCCATCCCAAGGCGGAAGAAGTCATTTAATGATTCCCCCGTCAAAAAAGGGCAAATTTATTTGATCACAAACACACTAAACGCACCGACTTAGATCCATAGTACTGTGTGAAGTTATTTCGATTCGATGTCTTTACTAAGCCAGGAACCGTTAACCGTTTCACACCTTTCTCTGAAACTTGTTTTGAGCTTCGGGATAGTTGCCTACTTCATTTTATGAAGTAGTGTTTTGCATTCTAGCATCGAATAATTATCTTTAAGATTACGACTAGGTACCTAATGCTTGCTTAACAACGGAACATGCATATTTACGTAGGTACAACTAGGTTCTATTCGCAAATTAATTAGGCGACAATTTACAATGATTCGAAAATTTTCATAGGTATACAATAAAACTACAATTAAAGGCATTTAGAAAAACGAAAAATTAATAATAGTTGCAGTGATTTGTATTATTATTAGTAATTTATTAATAACAAATGTTATCACCGGATCCATATACCATATACACAACCGTAATAGCATTTATTTATCATCTTCAAAGACCTTGTTATTTCAGGAAATAGATTTCAGGAAGTGTCTTCCTGAAATAATTAATCAATAATTGTTTATTATAATATTATTATAATTTATACATTTAAACAAGCAACTAGGAACTTAGTTATCACATAGTCATTAACCAAGTAATTAATGTCGGAGAACCGTTGACCGTTGGGGTACACGTGTTCTGAATTGGACACTGCGACTGGGTAAACGTAGTAGGGTAACGCGTGTAGAACGCCATCTAGCTCCGTGCAGTAATGTCTATGTCCGTTAAGTGACTGGTTGTGGGTGAACAAAGAGCTGTATATCGAATGGGTGCTATCGTTTTTGGTTACCAAATGCTATATAGCTAGAAGTGTTTTGTCTAATCACTGCAGCTGTCAAATATTGAAAGTGCAATTCAGTGACAGTAGCAAATTCCCCTTTGGAAGAAAAACGAGAGCGCCGCACCAGCGCCATCTGTTGAGCAAAAGCACAGTAATTGTCCCCATTCTGTGACATGCTATTGGAGACGCCATATTTAACAATTGGCGGAATAGGGCTGATGCCGATGACACTATTTAACATTGAAGTCAAAAATAAATAGTTTCTTTGTGATTGAACGAGGGTAAATAAACGCATTGTTTATCAATGAACATATCAGCCAGTCATGACAATAAACTCGACTACTTGTAACAATTGCAACATGTATTTATTAATAAAATGATAGTAGGTAATAAATTACTCATTTTAGCGTTTAAATTAGTTTATTGTAATTTATTTCATCTGCAATCAATGTATGAATGGAATGGAAGTGAGCTTGAGAATTTTATCTGCACAAACGCTTTATCTGAAATAATTAACGAATTTAAATTTATATATAGGTTCATTATCTTCATTAGGTAATTTAAATATTTTTAATGGGATCCTCTAAAAATCAATACCTTGGAAAAACTTTATTGTTTGGATTTTTCGTAAAACAAATTACTCTAGAGATACCATCGTAGTGCGCGGTTTTAAATCGAGGGTATATGGGAATAGGCTTGCCTTACTTTAAATTAAGATCACGGTGTATCTCGTCATCAGCCGTTTCCGTCCACCGATGGGCGTAACCTTATCCAATTACACACTACTGCGCTCGATCTTCAGCCTTTCGCACCCAACCACGGCCAGCCACTTTGTAGATATCACCTGTTCTTAGCTTAAAGGCATGAATATAAAATTCTTTCTTCTTGAATAAATAAAAAGTTTTACATATTCACACATTAAGATATTAACATATTCACATATTCACACATTCACATATTCACACATTCACATCACTTTCTCAATGTTACCTTTTGGCCAGGTATATTCTTCACGGACGGATACTTCTGGCATCAGCAAAGAAGATTTTCACTCCGTTATTTGAGAGACTATGGGTTTGGAAGGCGGTGTGAAGACCTGGAGTCAGTAGTTGCGACTGAAGTCAAGGAGATGATAGACCTGAGGATTAGTGGACCGAAGTATCCTGCTGAAATGGTATGAATTTCATTTTAAACATACTACAGTTAGCTAAGATTCTCCTGATAACTGTGTTTATTTTTTGGTTATTAAATGCTTGCCTTGACAAAAATTAATTTAATATTCCCTTTGATGCAGTCGTTCAGAATTGGGTACAAGCCTTAATCACAAATAAATTATTTCGACTGTTTAATACAATAAAATATAAAAAATAAGCACACTTTCATTAATTGATTTTATGACCAACTTAATTTTAACATTCTTCCAGCATAAGAAATAAGTACCTATGGTGTTTCACGCTAAAAAAACGTGACGACACAATACCGATCTCGTACAAATTTTATAGAAAACTGTCGTTTTTGACAGTTTAAAAAATGTATTGAATTTGACTAGTTGGCGAGTACCCAATTGGTGCACATTTGCGTGTAAGTAGTTTATGGCGCTTAATTTTCTGTTCCCAAGTAGATTTTATTTTAGAAAACCAATTACTGTAGCATTCTTATAAAGTGTTGTTCAATAACTGCTGATTTTAAGCTGACCTTAAGTTGCGTATATTGCGTAAGAGGGTACTGAGAGGAACCTCTATAACTCGAAGTATGGCTGCTTATAACGCAACTGCCGGATTTGTGTCTCTGGACAAGAGGGAATCCGATCGATGCGGAGTGTTAAAGTTTAAAGCTCCTCCGGGGGATTCCCTAGTAGTGGTTGCCAAATGCACCAGAATTATGCTGGACGATAGAATATTAGAGATGGCAAGATCCATTTCTGAATCTGGATTAGACGGCGAAGCTTTTGGAGACTGGCATACTCCGACGTTTCGCTGGACAAATGACGTCCCTGGTTGCGGAAAAACGACATGGATAGTAGATCAATTTGAAGCGGACAATGATCTAATTGTCACCACGACAACCGAAGCAGCAAATGACCTCAGAGGCAAACTATCCTGCCGAATCGGAGGACTCGTCAAATCTAGGGTTCGAACAATGGCGTCCATCCTAGTAAACGGCTTGGGGGAGCGAGAGAGCTGCCATCGACTAATGGTAGATGAGGCTCTCATGAACCACTTTGGAGCCGTTGTGATGGCCGCCCGAATAACTCGAGCCAAGGAAGTCCTTCTAATTGGTGACATAAATCAGCTTCCGTTTATAGATCGTGATAACCTCTTCCCTCTACTCTACAGCCGCCCTACATATATCACGCCCATAAGCCAGGAATTGATGTGTACCCACAGAAATCCAATGGATGTGGCGTATGCCCTCAGCACAGTTTACAGTGGCATATACTCGTCCAGGTCGTTCGTGAGATCCCTCGAGATAAAAAGGTTCTCGGGGGCGATGATTTCAAAGTCACTTCCCGACACTTTATACCTGGTACACACTCAGGCAGAGAAGGAATCCCTTAAGAACCAGGGATACGGGTCGACCGTGGGATCACGCGTGCTCACGATACACGAGGTACAGGGACTTTCGTGTGCGAATGTGGTTGTTGTGAACACAGCAACGAAGAAACATCAAATACATGACAGCGTACCACATGCGGTAGTAGCAATATCGCGTCACACGCATGGTTGCATCTATTACACAGACAACAGTGAAGACGCGATAAGCAAACTAATCAGGAAGGCGGCTGATGAGGGTGAGCAAGGTATTAAGGACTACAACCTGAAAATGGCTATCAAACACAGGGACGCGGGGCAGTCATGGGTGCTCTCTTGGGCGGGGAGTGTTGCTTGTGATGAAACTCAAACTCAAACTCAAACTCTTTATTTGAAACGAATGCAACATGAGGAAATGTGTATGCAGAAACATGTAGAAATAGAATATAACCAATTGACTTTGGACTATTGTACGCTTTATTGGAATCGGCCCACGTGGCAAGTGTTGAGGCGTCATGCACACATAAATGTCCTACAGTCGGTGGCGCTGTGTGTTGGGTTGTTCCATTCCCAATGAAAAGGTTGACCGGACCAATTGCTGACACATACTCGTGAACGGGTGCCTTCTGCTGGGTCAGGTCATAAAGCCTTCGAAATAAATAAATAGTGCCTAATTATTATGTAATCTATACTTTTGGTAATAATTATAGATGTAGTTAATTGTAGTGTGTAACTAGGTTCCCTCTTTACTTTATAAAAATTGACTAGATGTATTATAATAAAAAAACTGTATGACAAGGGCACGGACCTAGAGTCCGTGGAGAAATAAACTTTAATATAATATAAAAAAAAAACCCGATACCCGATCCATATATAACAGATACGGACGATAGAATCTTTGTTGTGACGCAATCAGTTTTGATATTTGTTATTTTTATCAAGTTAAAAAAAATGGAGGTACTATGTTCGGATGACTGTACATTCATGGGATGTTTCGAAATGCCTCGTTGGCCGAGTGGTGGCAAGTGCGACTGCCGTGCAAGGGGTCTCGGGTTTGATTCCCGGGTCGAGAAAAGTATTACCTATTGGGTTTTAAAAAAAATCTCAGTAGTAGCACGAAGTCTGGATTTGTGCCCGGCATATGGCAATAGGCTAACCCCCTATTACATGGGACTCATAACATAAATAGTGAAAAGTGGGTGTTACATTGTACAGTGGCATAATGTGCACCTCTGCCTACCCCTTCGGGAATAAAAGGCTTGATATTATGTTATGTTATGTTTCGAAATGGGTGAATTAGTCCAAGTCAATATTAGTTCCGGCACACTCTTTTGTGTCTAGCTTTAAGTGTTTATATTTTTAAACTGTTTTTATTTGCAGGATATCGTCAAGGGTGACCTAGTCTACATGCCATACTTCTTTGCAATACCGTTCCTTAATGGTATGCTCCAAATATTCTCTCGCAGCACTCTGCCAAGGTCGGAGTACAAAGCACTATGGGCTCTGACCCGTGGTACCGTCTTGTTCCAACGGAGCTCGACTGATATGGGAGGTGCCCTCTCCTTGACTCCTTGGCTGAAAGACATTCTGCCAAACTACAGTGGGTACAATGATCTGGTGAAAGGAAATGAATACCTGTTGAATTTCTTCAAGGTACGTATTTTATTGTGCTATATTGACTGATATAACAAAAGCGTTTGATTTTGTTAATCATAAAATTCTGCTGCAAAAATTACAGGGGTATGGAGTGAGAGGTAATATCCTGAAACTCATAGAATCGTATCTCAGTAACCGATCTCAATGTACAGAAATCACCAGAATATGAGCCACCAGAATATATGCTACTAAATTAGAGAAAAAATATTTATCTAAACCAAAGTTAAGTACAAGTACAAGATATGGTGTACCACAAGGCAGCGTCCTGAGGCCACTACTTTTCTTAATTTATATTAATGATCTCCCCAAAACTATAGATCACAAAATGGTGTTATTTGCAGATGACAGCACCGCTATTGTGGAATGTACTAATTATAATAATTATCAAAATGACATAAATAATTAATTGAATGACATTATAAATTGGCTTGACATTAATAATCTTATAATTAATTTAAATAAAACAAAAGTTGGACATTTCCACCAGCGTCGTAAACACTTGCCGTTTAATGTTACTTATAATAACTGTATTGTGGAGGAAGTTACAAGTGCGAAATTCTTAGGCATTACCATAGATAATAAATTAACTTGGAGACCTCACTTAGATGAAATATGCACGCGTCTCAGTAAGTCTGCATATCTTTTATTCCAATTAGCCAAGAAAATTGATACTAATACACTTCTTACATATTAGAGGTGGCGATATTTGTTAAAGCAAATCAACATTTGTTTCAAAAATTCTCAACTGTTAAGAGGACCCCTATTCGTGCACAATACGAACATTTATAATGTACATCTAAATGTAAAACTGCCCTAAAAAAGAGTGTCCTTGGTTTTTGGATTTTTAAATTGTGATTTTTATTGTTATTCATTTACATTATAATTTTTTTTTTCATTCAAACTTTGACATTTGATTTTGTATTTATTGATTGTAGATTGGTATTATCTGCCTAAAGTAATTGATTTAGTACGCCATATATGGCAAAACATGTAGACTCTGTACTAACCAAAAAAACACCTTCATTGTAATTACTCATGTTTTACTAAATAAATATATCTATATCTTTATCTTTAATGAACTACTCGTTCTGGGATTATCTAACACTTTATGTAATGTAATATTTAATGCTTTTATCTGTTATGTTTATTGGAGTCAAAATTAATATTTTGAATTAATAATTTTGATGGTAGGTACTATTTAGAAAAGAATCATCATCATCAACAGCCAAAAGACGTCCACTGCTGGACAAAGGCTTCCCCCTTAGTCCTCCACGTCGAACAGCAACTCGTCACTTGCATCAACTCTAGAATATAATAGAAGACAATATTGTTAGGAAAGGTTTGGTATAGACACTAGACTAAATTAAGTTCTTATAGTAATGATCAAAAGGTTTAAGGAACTGTGCTATTAACCTGCCTAATAAAATATTTTTTTGTATTAGCGGAAACATCTCAACATCTATTACTGCTATTACAACAGAAATTACTTCTAAAGAAGAGTACCTAACTGTTGAAGTTGTGCTCTTATTTTCAAGTGCAGGTTCATTGACCTCAAACACAGTCACAAATTCGTTTGATGGTCACGACATCTGTTACCGTTCTTTAAGTGTTAATGCAGTTAATCGTTTGACATAGCCTATTCTTAGAATTTTGTAGGTAACTGATGATTTAACTTAGTTGGAATATGATTTACTTATTACTTAATGACTTTAGTAATAAGAATTAAAATCCTAAGCGTTCAATGACACAGTTTCATATTTTGTATTTATGTGTCACTGCGTCGTTGAATAATGTGCAATTAATACGAAATTCACTTTGCTCTGATACTTCCATGGTCAAGAAAGGCTATCAGTAACTTTAGTTATGTCTTGAGGTTATCGATGTAGTGTAGGTACCACGGTAGGTACAAAGCCTACTTACTTAGTAAAATTTTGAATATCTTCTTACACAATAACACTTTTTTCTGACGTTATAAGGCACCACTTTATATTGTCAGGCGCGTACGTTTGTTCAGCTTTTTTAAAAAAACCAATTTCAATTTCAGAAATTAGTAAACGAAGCTATGGAAACCCATGACGAGACTTACGACCGTCACTTCTTAGACATGTACATCACGAAAATGAAACAAGAATTGCGGGAGAAAGACAAGACTACATACTCAGGTAAATATTTAAAACACATTAATTTTTACATTTTTTATACCTATCTCATATCATCAAGGATTCTACAAATCTTAGTGCATTACTTATCTTGGATATTTCCCTATATATTTTATTTACATAACATAACATCACACCCTATTATCCACGACTTTATCCGCGTGGGATAGTGATTCACAGCTCCTCCCCCGTTGTCGATAGCGTGATAATATGTAGCCTATACGTAGACCCAACTTGTTAGTAATATTCATGTAAAATTTGAAATAAATCCATGCAGCACTTTTTGAGTTCATCTCGGATATACATACAGACATACAGACAAAAATTCTAAAAGCCATATTTATGGTTTTGGTATCGACTGTAGATCACGCTCACGCCCAAAGTATTCTTTTAAAAAATACTCGATGCACGGTTTTCAGTTCCCTATGATTTTACATAGGTATTACTAGCTTCTGCAGGCCACTTCGTACGCGCAATCTCGAAAAAAATTTAGGGGTGGACTACTCCTAACATTTAGATGAAAAATAGATGTTGGCGAATTCTCATAGATAAGCACAAAAAATGTCATCAAAATCGGTCAAGCCGTTTCGGAGGAGTATGGCAACGAAAACTGTGACACGAGAATTTTATATATTAGATATGTAGGTACCTATATAAAATGTACTTAATTCTAAAATCCGTCTTCGAATAATCAAATTTTAATTTTATCATGAATTATATCGATTAGTGAATGTTTTGTTCTAATTCTAATTAGGTACTTATTCATTTTCTAGCACGATTAGCATTTTATCTATCTAAGTCTGAGCTTTTTAATCCTCGCTGTGTTCCCATGTAAACTAATGTTTTATCCATAGATATAATATTTAATATTTCTGTGGTTTTATCTAAATAAGTAGGTACAGGTACTACATGTGATTATAGGAAAATCTAACGTGATAGTCGTTTGTATTAAATTAGGGATTGTGCCTTTAAATATGTAATTAGGTATTAGTAGATAAAAAGACTAACTACTCACTTAAGGTAGGTACTTACTTACCTAGATTGGTCGTCTACGTTTAATTAGAATGTTTTTAAATATAAACTTTTTGCTAAGAGCGGAATGGTTTTCGAGTGAGACCGAATTTACGTTTTGCCAAAAATATAATAGGTACTTAAACTGTCAAACACCAAGCGGTCACCGGTGACCGCAACCTATTGTTCTATAATTGTGTCTACATAGACGGTTAAAATAATTCAAATGTCGGCACGGTGGCTGGGCAACTGGCTGCGGCGCATCGTGTCGCGGGTTCGATTCCCGCACGAAACAACTCTTTGTGTGATCCAAAGATTATTGTTTCGGGTCTGGTCTGGGTGTCATGTGTATGTGAACTTGTATGTTTGTGAACACACCCACGACACAGGAGAAAATCCTAGTGCGAGGCAACGTTTTTTTTTTTAAATAGAATAAGAACAGTAAAAGTCCTTGAGTGAAGTGAAAATATGATTTATATTGAACGAACGCCTGCACTTAGGTTTTAATAATAAAAATCGCGCCTATCTTGTTTTGCACACAACTGCTTGTTTTGCGTAATTGCAATATTTAAATGATAATATTTGTTTTGTCGGTCGTCCGACCTACTTATGTCAATAGCTCATTAAAATAACTGTTATGATAATTATTGCAACAACAATATCTAGAAACATTTAATTTAAGTACATTGCCAGGAACAGGAAAATGTCATATACAACATGTAACGTACCGTAGTGCGTTATAAAACCGAAAAAACCGTGCGGTTGCTTAAGCCATAGGAAAAGTACCTTTGCATTCAATATTTCCCCTTAAACTGTCAAACACCAAGCGGTCACCGGTGACCGCAACCTATTGTTCTATAATTGTGTCTACAAAACCGGTACTCGACGAGTTAATGTTATTTTATTTTATGCTTCATCAGGAATGTCATATAAAGTAATAATTAATGTTCGTCCGGTAGAAATTAAGTGATAATAATATTGTAATGAAATTGATTGATTGGCAGGATATAAGCATGATATTTCACAATTACTTTATCGCAGCGGATATCCAAGCAACAAATTCTTTGGATCCGTTTCGCATATTATGTATTTTTATGTATTAAAATTCGTTTAATTACATTTAAAATATATGCAACAGTGATATATGATGTTTACATTGATATTTGTAATCTGATTCTTCTGCATATACCTACAGTAGCAAATAATAATTTAATACTAATCATAACATTACGTTTCAGAGGTATGTTCATTTACATCAATGTGTCATAAAAGAAACTTATCATACATATGTCATACTAATCATGCTATTCATTAATAGTAATAATAAATTAGATCTCAGAAACGAATTATTAATGCAATTTTAATTTATTTAGAAATTAATTACTAATTCACATTAGACCTATTTATTTATACACTTTAAATTAGGAACGTGGATCGAAATTTAAATACGAGGAAATGTTAACGCAATCTTGAAAATTTAATTTTGTAAAAATTAACCCCTCTTATCTTATAGTTTAATCAAAAAACAAGTTAAAATGTCAACAGTTACGCAAAACAAATAGCAGGTGCGTTTACGGATGTTAGATCGTATTGGATCGTATTGGAGACTCGGTTGCCAAAGAAAAAAAAAATAGGATGTTAGATTTACTTCAGCAATAAATAATTATTACGTTGGTAGATGTTGCGCAATATTTACGCAAGCGACATGACTGCACTGTAAGTTTCAACTAACAAATTAACATAAAAAAACAGTGAAACTAAACTACTGAGCCCCCATAAAAATGAATATTATGACTATAGGGAGAAAGGCTTCAAAGAAAAATATTAGATTTTATCATATCTATGTAAATATGGATACTAATAAGAAGTCGCCTTTCGCGTGTCTGTCAATATGAACGCGATGAACTCAAAAACTGCAGAGCGGATTTTAGTTCGATTTAACGATATATTATAGTACAAGACAATGTGTTATTGATGAATTTTAATAAATGTTGCTGTTGATAAAACTACGGGTGGAAAGGTGGACTATTAAATTTGTATCAACTAAACTAATTATCTATCTTTCTTTATTTCCAGTGGACCAGCTGATCCTAACGTGCACAGACTACACATTCCCCGCGGCGTCAGCTGTGCAGTTCGTGCTGACGATCCTTGTGGAGCGTCTGCTACTGCAGCCTGAGATCCAGGACAAGATCCATGAGGAAATCGACCGCGTCGTCGGCAGAGACCGTCTCCCGAATTTGGATGACAGAAGAAAGTACGTACTTAAATACATACAGTGTACCTAAACAGAGGCCTTAGTACGAGTTTGTTTTACGTTTAAGGTATTCGTAACGAGTGCGCGTTCGGCACTGTGATTGGCCGGCGCCAATGGAGCAACCAATCACAGCGCCGAACGCGTACTCGTTACGATTACTTGAAACGTAAAACAAACTCGTACTAAGGCCTCAGATCGCCCCCGAAACGCTGACAAAAAGGAATCGTTTTCACAATATTCTAATCGTTATTATTTTCGTGTTGTTCTTACAACATCAGTCTTCTTAATTCATTCTGTCTCCTGCAGTAATTCACACAGGGAAATGGAAACTATCGTTTTTTTCCTTCTCCTCTTATAATATCTTCTGATTCACTTCGTTGCGGGAACCGTTCCGGTATTCCGGTGTTTTCATGGTTGTATCTACTGTAGATCCTGGTTTACAGGAGTTGCAGCGGTTTTAGGAGGTTGCGGGCTTGTCCCAAAAAAATTATCAGTCTAGAACATCAGCCTAGAGTTGTTAATTACAATTATTATTACATAAAATAAATATTTAATACCTTGATTTTCACCATCCCCTATCGGCGTTTTGCGGTAGCGTTCCAGGTACACCCCGTGTAGTACCTGGTTGACCGAGCTTATGTCGGTGATTTTTTAGTACATTTTTATTAGAAAAAAAAATATAGTACTAAATAAAAAAATCATCGAATTATCGAAACCAGAAATACAAATTTCAAAAAAATCGAAAATGCCGTTTTTAATTCCGTTGAAATTACAAGAATTCAAATTATAAATATCTTTATTCCTGAACAGAGTAGGTACATTTAGATGCATTGCAAGATGTTAGATTAATGCACCGTTCACCATGTTCGAATTGGTCGTGTAGGTACCTTTGGTACGATGAGCTTTCGTATTTAGGTTAGTATTGGACAGTCGTTACTTTCTGTTCAATATGAGAGGTACAGATACAGGCATAGATGTCAGATCGGAAATATTATTAGTTGACAAGCGACTGATCTCGAATTTTGTGCGACGAAGAATAGCAGTCGTGTATGAAAAAGATGGATGGAAACATAGGATGATATCAGATTAATACTTAGACTTACCTACGTCGTTTCATGTTAACTTAACAAACTTATAAAAATAAAATTGAGATTTAATATAATAAAGCTTAGAGACAAATTTCTATTATTCTTCTTAGGTACCTATCGACATTGTTTTTAGGTTCCTACATTTAATATTATTTAGTAGCCTGGCTACTTCATACTTCGTCAAGTAGATAACTAGATACAAAAACAACTAACCAAAATTAAAATCAAGGAATAACAATTAAGACATTAAACCAGAATATAAATTAATCTTACCTATTAATGAATTATATTCATAATTATTATGAGAATAAAGAATAATACAGAGGTACCTAAGTAAAGTAGTTATTACCTATATAGACAATTAAGTTTTACATAAGTTGTCCGGTGACTTAAATTAGAGGTTTAAAATTAGAGGTCGTAGCTAAATTTATTTGCCTTACAATAAAATATTTAACTTTTTATGAGTCTGTACGTATATTTACTAATATACATTTTAGTGTCAGCAATAATGTAAAATAAAACATTGCTCATTGATAAATAAATGGCGCATCGTAAGATGTAAGAAAAATATCCTTCGATAAACTAACTCACATGGCGAAAGACAATGCAAACGTTGTTTCACGCCGTTTGTTTGCGAGGCCGTGGTATCACGCTGCGGTCGAGCCGATCCATTCAAGCCGAAACAAGGCTCTTTCAACCTTTTAATTTATATAGCCTAGCTCAGTATTTCCTAGCTCCGTGTTCCCAACAGAACAAAAGGACGGATTAAACTTTCAAAAACCGATGGGAAATTGAAAGGTGTATTCGTTTCTTATTAAGTCATGAGAGGTCAATGTACTCAGGTATTTGAACAAATTATTACGGCGGTGTGAAAACATTTTGTACTTAGGTACAATTACCTATTTTTAGCCTTAACATAGTTATTTTTAGAACCGTTCTACACAACGTTACCTTCTTACCCACTTCATTATACATAGATTTGGAGAGAGTTCAGTCTATTTTTGCTAAAGTAGGTACCTATACAAAGTGCAGATAGTTACGTCATGAAACCTAGGTCTGGTACACACGGCCACACATCAATCTATACAAAACCAGTTTATCCTGGTGTCGCGTCGCATCATCTTTCCGCACATTTAATGTTCAGTTTATACTGGATATGTAAACTTCCATTTGTAGCCGTGTGTATCTATGTCCTTTTTATCGGATATGGCCGGCAACCACACAGATGGATCACCTGATGGTAAGCAATCGGCGTCGCCCGTGGACATTGACATCACCAGAGGCGTTAGAAGTGCGTTGCCGGCCTTTTGGGGGTTAGTGATTCGCAAATTCGGGGATTGGAAAGATTGGGGAGGAGGGCAATTAGGCTTCCGGTAACTTTAATCAAACAACGAAACACAACAAAAGCGTATAACTCGTATAATTTTGGTTTTCTGTGAGGCCGTGGTATAATTCCGATGGCTCTCTCACGTTTGTTCATTCCGTTCTATTTGAGGTTTTTGGTTGCGAATATTTTTATGCTTAGCTGTTATCCTTCATGCCTTCCTGTTGTTTTCGTTGTTTTATAAAATGCAGACAATGGTCTTTCATCAAGGTTGCAGATTTGTTTGCAAAAAAAAGAATAGGACCTACTATCACTTTGGCCTGGATATCACCAATATTAATAATAGATCATCTTTCGTAGGTATCTTTGCCACAGAACATATAAAGAAGATCTTTGCCATGATTGCTAAAACACTTTTTTTTAAGGGGGGAAAGTCATCGAATGACTGCTCCCGCCTGGGTGAGGCGGGAGGGAGTGTTAGACTCTTACTGACTAAAAACCACCCCGTTCCTTCTCCTGCACGTCGAGCCGGAGCCCCGGTTACCCGTTAGGTTCTCCGCGATCGCTAAAACATTTACACACATACTAAAATAATAAGGTCTAGATTTGTTTTTTTTTTCAATGACATACCATTGCGATTATCTTCGAATGGGGACATGGTCTGTTTAAGCTGGTGTTCATTTCAGTAGGTTAATGCTTTTTTTGTTGCGATAGGTCCGGTTTGACCTATTTTCTTGTAATCAATCATTAAATTGAAAGATAATAAAGATTTTTTAAAGATAGAAAGTATTAAACGTTAAAAGATTAAGATAGTGACTGTTTCTTTCGACTCTAAAATTGAGCAATTTTGACGCCATTATATACCTACTTTTTGCGTACAAGTACCAACTGTAACTATAACAGTCTTTAAGTTGTGGTAATAAAGCCACTTTTCAAAAATCTGTCGTTCTATGCTGCGTGCTTATTTACTTTTTACTGGATAAAGTGCGATGACCGCGGCCCACTGCGTGAAGATTTAGGAGCATGTACCGTCTGGCGTCCGTACTGTTAGCTTGGCATGTCTCCTACTGTTAGACAACAGATGCCCTAGCGCGAGTTTCCTTTTATGTTATCGCTATCGACACGTTTATGACATTCGGCATTCTGATTGGCCGGATCCAATTCACCGACCAATCAGAAGGCTAAACGCTAAGTAAGTTTTGACGTAAAAGAACTCGCACTACGCCTTCTAAAGATCTGAGATCTTTACAACATGTACTCGTTACCTCTATTTCCGTTAGCTTGCTTGCTTTTTGTTCATTTTAGAGGTTTAATCACGATGGCACAGATAAACCGTTTGTTTTCTTCTGTAAATGTTTGATGTTGAGCTGTTCGCCGGTTGGACCAACATGCCAATCAAGATAAACCGTTCTTGACCAAAAACTTCAACAACCGTGAAGTGAATCGGATTTTCTAATTCGAGAAATGTTTTATTTTTAAAGCCAGTTTGTTTGTAGATATTGTAAGAATATTCCTATTCAAATTTAGGTAGGCCACAAAAGTAAATAATACGGTAAAATGAGGTGAATAGGTATTAAAAGGTGAATAGGAACAAAAGAGGGGTGAACTGATACTACTAAGAATTTCCCAATATCTATTCACCCCTCTTCTGTCTCTATTCACGTCTCGATCCCTACCTCTATTAAAAAAACTTTTACCTACTTAGGTACGCGAAGTAGCAATATAATAATACAAATAATTAGGTTATCATTTAATCCCATAGTACACAAACTACTGGTCTTTATCCTAATCTGATTCAAGGTTCACTAAGTACTAACCTATCATAACATAGTACTAATTATAAGTACCTTAGAACTTGATAAATGATTAGATAGTCGGCTTTTGTCCTACATTGTATTTACTCGTGCTAAATTAATTTGAATACCTACTAGTACACTCTATATGCATACCATCTAACCTCTACAAGCTAGACAACGATACGACGACCTTCAAGAAATGAGAGTCTTCCTTTTTAAAAGGCGACAATGCACCTGTGACTCCTCTGGTGTTGCGCGGTGTCTATGGGTGGCGCTGATAGCTTACCATCAGGTGATTCGTCTCCTTGTTTGCCTTAAAACGATTATTAATCGATTATTACACTTTTTACTACTTACTAAATGAAAATTACCTACTAGTTTATTTAATTTTGTCAAGCGCACGAGAGGACTTGCAAATTCTCCGCATTTATCTATGTAAATAATGGCTAAACACGTAGCACGTGATCTGTCGTGCAGTCCTATACTGCGTTTAGCGTTTACCTAATTTGTTTTGACTTTAAAGTTTAAACTATAGCTTTTTTGTCAATCTCCCAGACGTGCTAATTTTTAACCAAGGTTTATTTGTTGTTCTTGACCGTGTCTGACCTCTTACCACTTACTGCCTATGTCTCAAATGCATAAGCACGTACGTTAATACCTACTTGGTTTTACTAAACTCAGGCAAGTAGTTAGAGCTATATTATCTACCTAATATTTTAAAAGCGTCGCTTTCGATTTGTAAGTTGAATAAATGCCTTCGATAATAGTTTGGAACGATCCAAAGGTAAGTAAGTACCTAAACATAGATAGGACACATCTAAACAAACCCTTTGGAATTAGGTAATATCGGATAGATGATATGTTATGAGTTTATAAATCCTGCCTACATGATAATACACATGCAAATAATCGGTGTCGAAAATGAGTATCGAGTTTTATACGGTTAGAAGAGAATATTCGGTACTCGGACGGCGGTCGTAATTATAAATGTAATCTACGTTTAAATCGAAAATATTAACGGTTTGTCTTATTCACTACTGCCACCTACCAACTACTTGCGCACTGCACATTATCATTAAGTAGGTAACCGTTACTCACCACATCACAGGCACCGTTTTGGTCATCCATCAAAACAATTGCATAGAAATTGGACCAATGACTTCGTTGCCCACAGCCGTATCACCTAAGTCGGCATCGTCTAGAACATGTATTTTATATTATGTAGTTACACATGAAGCTATGTACATACAACCAATGTATGTACACAGACGATTGAATGTGAGTAAAGATCATAAATAGCGACAGCACAATAAACTGGCTGATTTTAATTTGCTGATATACTGACTTCTTAAATTTGCAATATGTCGTGGTAGCCCGGAGGTAAGAAGCCCGCTTCTCATTCATGAGGGTGCGTATTTGAAACCTATCAACGTCAAGTACCAATGTTACTTTTTCCGAGTTACCTATATGTACTTTCTAAAATTATCTAGACACCACTGACCAACGGTGAAGGAACTATTATTTCTAAGTTTGTAATAGCCAACCCGCATTGAGCAAGCGTGGTGATTAATCCTCAAACCTTCTCCGTGTGAGAAGAGGCTTTGCTCAGCAGTGGGCATTTATAGGCTGTTGATGATAACTGGCATTTTAAATTTGCATGCCTTTAAGGTGGCATTATGCATTGCATGCCTATATGGTTAATGGACACTATTTTGTACAAGACATTTTCTTTTGTACCCATGTTCGCAAATAAATAAATGATTAGGATTGATTATTATGATGTATAGCCGTTTGTCGGAGCTACTTGAATTGGTCGTTTCAAAATGTTCATCTAGCTAGACAGCTTTGTCTTTAGCTTTAAAGAAGACTAAAGTTAACTCTCGACGTTCATTATTCATGAATGACGCATTGAAATCCTATACGCTATTAGGGATGTTTGAAGACTCATTTTTTATGTTTCTATTGCCCGAATACTGAAACGTTACTCAATTTTAAGTCGCGCTTAAGTATAGTTCTGTCACCACTAATTCTTTGTGAAATGACAGAGATGGTACGATATTTAAGCACGACTTTTCTTGCTCGTTCTTCTCCATAGGAATCTACACCTTGGAATGAGCAAATAGCTTCACTTTTTTTCTATTGCTGACGTTCAAAAGTGCCTTCCTGGTCTAATAGAAATAAATGATTTTTGACTTTTTGACTTAAAATTGAGTAACGTTTCAGTATGTATATAATATGTATATAATATGTCTATATAATAGAACTGCAGCAATTGACGCCTCCTACGCTAGGCTAGGTTAGAAGGAATACCAACCACGCTCTTTATCTCTAAAGAAAGTTTCTTTAATTCCTTGGTACCGCTTACAATTCACTCATATCATGTGTTAAGAATATAACTTCACAGTACGTGAGCACCACGAGGCATTTTACATGGAACATATTGCAACATTGTATGGTACACCCATTATAATATTTATGAAGGGGCATTATAATTAATTAAATGAATTGTAAACCATAGTATATCTCGACATTAATGGACGTAAGAGTACTAAAATTACCATAAAGCCAATTACGTTTCTGTTTGTTATTCCTCTCAAGTAGACCATGGCTAAACCTAATACGCTTGTTAAAACTTGATGTAGATAAGATGAAACCATGTAAAAAAAGGCTTAGGGTTTCGTACACTTAATCAGCTTTATTGAGCTGATGTCCAGTCCAGTTGTAGAAAACAACGATTGTGTATCCCAATAATAGGCCAGATGATTTAAATGTGACGTACCTACTAATAAATAATATTTTTCACAGTATGCCATATTTGGAGGCTTGCATCCGAGAGACTATGCGGTTCGATACCACAGTACCTCTGTCGGTGCCTCACCGAGCAATGAAGGATACCACCTTAGCAGGATACGATGTGCCAGAGGTGAGATAAAAGAAAAACTAATTACGTGTACTTAATATATAAAATTGTTACGTTGCACCATAATTTGGTGCGTCGAGACCTGAAGAATTTTCCGTTCGCTAGTAGCTGTCTTTCGAACCTAAATATTTGTAACATGCTGTGTTTATTAAGTTGAGCGAATCATAGGTTTCGAGAAAATGATGGGTATAAAATGGACATCTGTTAACTCATGATATTAAGTTAATAATATTTCCAATTTTAAGATATTAGCGGGTAAAACGATAAAAAATGATTAGGTACCACAATAGATATCTAGGTATTTTGAATTTATAGATAGATAATCATAAAATCTTTCAATCACATAACATAACATCGCGCCTTTCATGTTCGTAGGTACAATGTAACACCCACTTTTCACTAAGTATTTATGTTATGAGTTTATGAGTCCCATGTAATAGGGGGTGAGCCTAATGCCATTTTCTTTTCTTTTAATTAATTTTATAATATAACAAATTAATTTGTGGATTATAATATTTCGAATGTATGTTAGGTTCCTAGTTTATTGCGAAAGTCATTGAGGTAGGTAGGTACCTACTTAATAAAGGTATTTTAGATATCTCATTTCCCAAAGTTTAAACATATTTTTTTAAGTTCGAAATTTAAAAAAGACTGTCTCGTTGATTCTGTGTTCGTTATTCAAATGGTTTATTGAACTCAGGGCACGATGGTGAGCGCTAACCTGACGCTACTACACATGGACAAGGATATTTGGGGTGACCCCGAAAACTTCCGTCCCGAAAGATTCCTCAAGGACGGAGAGCTTGACCTCGCCAGCGACAAGTCATTGCCATTTGGAGCAGGTACGTACATTTATTCCTTTGTTTACCTGAAGGCTATTGACCTGAAAGGGAAATCGGTGATCGTTATTACACGGTGTATTTTTTAAGTTGCAAATTTTATCCTCGAGTGATTTTTGTGTTTTTTTTTGCGTTTAGACATAGAATTTGCATTTTACATTTTTACTTATTTAATATGTAAATCGATACGAAGTAGAGCTAGTTAGAATCGACTAAATTAAAAAACCAACATACTCAATTTTTTATTAGACACGTGCAGACACTACGATTTCGAAAATCGGTTTTTGGAAATGTTTCTACAGGAAACAAAACGTCTTATCAATAAACATATTTTATTTGCGTCAAACTAATGGTCGATGAGAGTATTTACCATAGTTTTGATGCTATGTATGTAAATCTAGACACAGAAACTGGTTACTAAAATAAAATCTTTACTAAGTAGGCATCCATTAAACTTAATCAAAACAGTGTGACACCACCTATTATATGCAAACGTTTAACTGTTTTGTTTACTAAAATAAAACAATATAATTCTATGAATAAATGAAAATTCTAGGAGAAAAAGTACATCAGCAGATATAATGGATACTTTTAATTTGATAGGTGTTTGTGTTACTTGATATTCCCCACTTTTTTTCGGTAGTTTTCTGCCGCATAATTAGACAACTCGTACCTACCGACCTACCGACTGCATTCAAGGCATAATACATAAGTAATACAGTTTCCACTTATGTCCTAACTGACCTATTCTAGCTTTATAAACCTGTCACAGTTGTTTTGTAACAAGTTTTTACGCTTCACTGCAAAACTACCTACAGAAAATTGCTATAATTATCTAGGCTTAGGAAATATCTATCAATTTATAATATTGCCGTAGACTCAGCCGTAGAGTAATAACAAGGGGCAATGTATTTAGTTTATCACATACTGGATGACAAAATTAACGGGTGAAATCTTAAATTCTACAAAATTGTTGATTCCAGATCATTAAATCAATGTAGATACTTATGATTTATACCTATCGTAACCTATTAGAGATTTTATCATGAATTAGTAGGAAAAAATACCTACAGCTATACAAAAGTGTATACGTGATCATTTCGGATTAGGCGTTTTCCTTCGGCTATGTACCTACGAGTATTAGATTAGTATTCGCGTTGCAGGTACTCAAGACTAACATTAACTTACCTCATTGTACCTGATTATATTTAAAATTTGAGTATGAAACATAATTACTACCTCCTCTTTCCCCAATCTCCCAAATCCCTGAATCTTAATCCAAATCCTTAATCCCGAAAAGGCCGGCAACGCCTCTTGGTGTTTCAGGTGCTTACCATAACATTAGGTGATCAATCTGCTCCCAAAAATAAAAAATATATGGAAATTAGTTACCTCAGTCCACATATCTGCCCTCCATCTAAAAGTTCCTAAAGAAGATTTTGAAGGAACATTCGACTTATATCGTATAGCATTAATTAATTGATTCAATTAGATATTCTTTTTTGTTCACAGGCAGAAGATTATGTGCTGGTGAGACCTATGCTAGACAGTCCATGTTCCAAGTATTTGCTGGCTTCATGCAAACTTTCCATGTATCCACCGCTGACGGCAAACCGCTGCTGAAGCCTTCTAAAAGGATCCAAGGCATCATCACCACCATTCCTGAGTTCTGGGTTAAAGTTACTGTCCGAGAATGAAAAACAACAAACAAGAATTTTGCCACAAAATTCAAAAATAGGTGTCTATGATCTCTCTTGTTTTTCGCCAAAATGTAATCAAAGGTTTGGATGTTTACTTTAACTTAAACTTTAGTTACTTTTTAACCCAAAAAAAAACTATTGTTTCCGTTATCTACGTACCTGTATTAAAAAATAATGTGATCACATTTTTGGATTTCTGTACCTCCTTTCTATTTTAATGATCTACTTTACAGAACTACTATAAACTGCCTATATGTATTTCCCTTAAGTTCAATTACCATCTAATAATTAATAACAATAATGATGACCGAACTCCATGAAACTACACACAGTAGACACAATCGACTTACCAAGATTAATTTATGCATAACGTAAAATAAGTTTTGACAGCTCAAAATGACATTGACATAGTTGAAGAGTTAGCCTTGACAGAGGCGACTCATTCAAGATATATTATTTCAACCTGTTTTTGTTTAAATGCGTATACTGTTAGGTATTATTACTTAACATAATAATCCAAGTAACGATATCTCATTATAAGCATATCTCATTAGCATTTTTACGCATTCGTTTTTAAATAATAAATACCCATTTTCCTAATAAGTATGACGTTCGAAATAATTTGATTTTCTCTGCTACCTTTAATAGATTCGAACTTATATGACCGAAATTTTATGAATAATACATGGCAATGACGATATTATCATTTATTATGTCATAATCAAATCGGTACTTACATATTTCAGTAGGTATCTGATAAAATATAGATAACTTCGTGTATATTTAGTAGCCTACTTAATTTTATAAGGGTAATCTTCACGTGAAATGGCCAGTTTTTTAATTTTAATCTTGGCAATTGTTTCATTATAATATCTGAACATTTTAATTTAGTATGACATTGTTACTTAACACTATTTTTAAGGATCTTTGACTTTTGTATCAACATCAAAGAATTAACTATAGGTACATGTATGTACACTGCTCTAATTTAAGTCATTAAAGTTAATGTAACATAAATAAATAATAAAATCCTTGTATTAAATAAATTGTATGTTTCTATTGTCAAGTCTCTCCATCTCTATGTAAAGATAGTAATTTTGTTTTTTTTTTTTTATCAAAACCACGGAGTCTGGGATTGTGCCTGGTACCGTTTGTTGGAGAACGAAAAACCTCTATATTTTTCCAAATATTTTCAAAATTCCATGTGGACTACTTTTGTAACGTGATGTGCAAATCGAATCGAACGATAAATAACGATTTATCGTTCAGATTAAAAATGATACAATCGTTCAAGTTCGATAAATTCACGCACGCTCTCTCATTAATACAGTGTGGCATGAACACACTGCTACACTAATTTCCACAATGTTAACAGAAAAATGAAACAAACAGTAAAACTGGAACGAAAACCGGATTTTCCGTAAATAATACGTCGTTTATTGCTCTTATAAGTCTTATGAAGAGATATGGTGTGATGCAATGAAAAGGCTTTTCCTCACATTAAACACCATATATTTAATGAACACTACTCGTATCGGGCCTGAATTTCTCTAGGTTTTCGCAATAGTTTCCTTTTAGTACTTTTGTTATAGGGATTAAAATAAATTGGCATTATTTACGTAGTTGCGTGCTTATGTTCCTAATCTGAATGATAATTATCATGGTATACATAATGATGCATTATGGATATCACTTGCAACAATGTCAAAGATTAAAATGTAGGTATTAACTATTTACTTTGTATACTGGTGGTGCAAATATTGAATGATATTTATGTTCAAAGCAATAAAGCTTATGTTTACTTATACGTAACTAAAAATAACATCTTGCACACATCATGTTCCCGTTGTTAGTCAAACAAAGACCAATTTATTGTCAGTTTTCTTATCTTATTGTAAATACTGATATGTATGATTATTTATTCATACATTAATTGTTACTAGTCCTATTCATTTTTGCATGTTTTGGGCAAGGATGTTGAAAAAAAGGCGGACTTAAAGTCGCGTTAGAAATGATTGAAGCACCAAAATGGCAATGGTGTATTTATGTGTGCGTGTACCTACTTGCAAAACCGTAATGTAATGAAGTGTAATAACAGGCCATGTTACGCGACAGATGTCCTTCGTGTCAATGTGTGCGTATTCCGCGTGCAAGTCTAATAGCAGCCAGGTGCCACATGCATTGATTCAAGAGACTATGTCCTTTTTCAACGTCTTTAATTTTGGGTATATAACCGCGAAGTAGATAATTAAGAAAGTTAAGGTGAGCAGCTTTGAAATTGTGCAGGACCAAAGAGTTTTAACGCACACTTCTTCACTAAGCTAATCTGATTTATGATACATTTACACTAGGCAATTATAGAACAATTATAGGTGGATAAAGAGCTTATTAAAGATGGCGTTGCAAGACAGCTACCTATTAATTATATTTTAATAATAGAGGAAACAATTGAGTTGTGTTAATTACTTGATCGAAGAAGCGTTAACATGCCAATTTGAATATCTACTATTAAAGCCATTTAACAATCAACAACACAGTCACTCTCAAATATTTGGCTGTAGGTATTGTGCGTTAGAATTGAAACCTAACGAAGGTTCTGATTTCTCACAAAAGCATCAAATATTTGAACTGTTTGTTTTTATATTTTTGAAGACTGGTCATTTGCCTCATGATGTCTTTTGTAAAGTGGGTACCGAACACGTTTGTCCAAGACCTGGTTTGATAGCATCAAACGGTGGAATAAAACAAGGTACTTGGATAGTTTTTTTTAGCATAAACCAGACTTAAATGCGAATAAGGAAAATCCATGTCAGTAATTTTTTAGGTCTTGTGTACAAATACTAGATAAAATGGTGTTATCAGCATCGTCGTGATCAAAATACTTAATATCTAGGACACAAGTTGGTATAGTTAGACAAGAAGAGAGTTTACAGTTAGTTAACTCTTTCAGTCTTGGTGGTCACTGTAACTAACCACCTTTTCTTAGAAATTCAATTTTTGAAGTATGCTCCAAATTACTCTGCATTGGTTTTTAAGCATTTCAGTATAATTGTATGAAATATATTCGTAACCAGTTAAAATTGTTACTGAAAGAGTTAAACCGTGGCGCAGTAAAGTCTAGGTTTTCTTAGAAGTTAGAACGTAGGTCGGTAAAGATTAGTTCTTTGCCAACAACAATAAATAATATAACATAACCTTTTTATCCCCGAAGGGGTAGGTAGAGTTGCACACTACGGCAATTAATGCCACGTACTATTTATGTTATGAGTCCCATGTAATAGGGGGTGACTTTATTGCCATATACCGGGCAATTTTCCAGACTCCGTGATACTACTGAGATTTAACCCAATAATACTTTGCTGACCCGGGAATCGAACCCGAGAACCGAGAACCCGAGGTCGCAAGTGTGACTGCCCTTGTTCGGCAGTCACACTTGCGACCACTCGGCCAACGAGGCAGTCTTACAACAAATAACAATAAATATAGAAACTAAATATTGACAGTATAATGGAACCTTTTCCAAGTTTTATTCCATAACAACAATTCAACATTTCATTGCTTAGTAGTTAAATATCACCTACCTACGTAAATGTTTTTCTTTAGTTACTTCATTATCTACGAATGGCACAACCCTACAGAAAATATGCCATTGAAGTTTGAACTCAAATAAGTCACATTTAAAGTTAAAACTACGTAAATGAAAATGACAATTTTGGATAAAGTGAGCAGGTTTATTCACTTATTAAAATTAATGTTTCCTTCTTGTCTACATAGCCTTGTACGTTTGACAACGAAGAAAAAATACATTGCCTGTTTGTGAAAAAATTTACGACTTTTTAAATGCTCGAACAAAACAATCTACACAATTTTAAATTCAACACTTTGAAATGAAGGCAAGGCTTTAGAAACACCTTCACTGATGTCTCCTCCATATAAGACCTACTTATCCACGTTTGCTAAGACGCCAATAAAAATGGGGTTCCAGATAGAAAATGCTACTTAAATCACAGGCTAATTGCTTAATGTCATGTTTTAACTGAAGATTACGGTATTATAATAATAAGTTTCTAGGTAGGTACTAGTGATATTTACACGTACATGTTTTTTTTTAAGGGGGGAAAATCATCGAATGACTGCTCCCGCCTGGGTGAGGCGGGAGGGAGTGTCAGACTCTTACTGACTAAAAACCACCCCGTTCCTTCTCCTGCACGTCGAGCCGGAGCCCCGGTTACCCGTTAGGTTCTCCGCGACAATTTACACGTACACTTACCAAATATTAAAGCCACATTTTTTCAATTAAGTAGGTACCTAAGCATATTATATTTGCAATAATGTTTTTAAAGGTCACACAAGGTTTTAAAGGTAATAATATTCATCTAAAAATAACTACTTACATACAAAACGAGTATGAATAAATTTAATTCGCGCCATTCATAACTTCATACTTTTTCATTTTGCATACCTAATTTAACAGAGAATAAATTCCTACATATTGATAACCTCATCATACGATTATAATTATATCACCCAAATGGTTTTATATCATATACTTGCTACTCCTGTGCGGTTTAACCCGCTCTGCTCGGTTCTTTTTCATCGTAACATGATGTTTTATAGCCTGTAGTCTTCCTCGAGATATGGACTACTTATCCAACACAAAAATAATTATTCAAATCGGACCAGTAGTTTGGAAGATAAGCCCGTTTAAACAAACAAACTGTTCAGCTTTATTGTATAAAACCATGAATAAATTATAATACAATAAACTAGTATATGAGATTTGATCTTATCAATTGATAATCTTTGTTTAAGAGTAGGCCTTGCCACGATAAATATTTTAAGTATAAAGATAACATTAACTTATAATCTGTCCTGTTGAGAGAAAAAGTCTGCTAATAAAATTACAATCTAATTATAATTATTTTACTTTGAACTACCCGGTTCTTGTAATATAGCGTTACTTGCTTAGCTAGTTTATTATCTATGAATGTTATCATTTAAATAAGTTATTGCGACTTATCGTAACTTTGAAGGATAGGCCAAGTTTATTATTGAGTTTCCGTAACTAATAAAACAGTAAAATATTCGTCACATTAACTCTTATCAACTAACTAGAGAATTAAGTAATATTTCTTATATGATATTTTGATGACTTTATGCTAAATCTTTGCTGAGAAAAAAGGTAGAAAAACATCTACTTTAATCATGAGTCTATTTGAGTGTTTAACTATTTTTTTAACAATTAATTTCAAAGTCGACTTTTATTAATTTTTAACAATTTATTTCGACTAGACATTTAATAGATTCGCCAATTTATTTTCGAGAATGTTCCCTAATAGCTAACTTGGGTTATCATAAGCAATGTAGCCGCGAAGTCATTATCGCAATATGGTAAAGATTAAAAATTTCTTTAGGCTGTCAACGAACCTTGACCTTGAATAGATATAAAAAATACTCAATGAAATCACGTGAGCCACGTGTAAAAAGCAAAAGCACTTATTGGGTTTAGGAAAATAATAATTATTCGATACTTAGATACTTACTACTTTTTGCCCTTCG